GTGAGTTATTTTGATGAAATGGCCAATGTCCGATATTTAACTTTATCGCTAATATCGGCTGATACCAATACCATGCTGATAATATCCTGCATCCCTAAAAAATAGTAATTTTTGTCCAATGTGTTTCAAATTTAGTCTACTTTTTTACTTGTTTTTGTCACTGTTATTTAGAAATACATTTTAATGACTTCATTAAATTAAAATAAATTTTATTTGTTGCACTTCTTTATAGGTGTAAAGTTGTTTTGAATACAAAAAAAATTGTACATTGACAACTGGTTCAAAATGCTGCCGCCAGATTTTTAACTGGTACAGGCAAAAGCAAGCACATTTCTCCAGTCAGTTCTGGCCTCCCTGCACTTGTTCCTGTTTCACTTTCAAATTCATTTTAAAATCCTTCTGTATGTTTTTAAATTTCTGAACAGCTCTGCCCCTCTTATCTCTCTGATCTGCTGCAGCCATATGTCCCACAGCACACTCTGAGGTCAGCAGACCTGATGCTTTCATTGGTTCCAGGTACTCGTTTTAAGCTCAGAGGTGACAGGGCCTTCTCTGTTGCAGGTCCAGCACATTGAATGATTTACCACAACATGTCAGGCAGGCTCCCTCTCTCACTGTTTTTAAGTCTCGTTTAAAGAAAATAGCTTTTTATTCCCAGGCTTTTGACACTGTGTGAGTTGATTTTAACGTGTCTGTATTCTATAATGTTAGTTCTTATATTTACTTGTGTGATCTATGCATTTTATCCTGTGTCCTTTGCTTGTTTTGTTTTAGTTGTACAGCACTTTGGTTGGCCTTGTTGCTGTTTTAAAAGCGCTATAAATCAAGTGGTATGGTAAATACTTTTATGCTGAATTATTCTGTGCATAACTGTGATCAGCGTTCTTGTCAAACTGACCTTCTGTGTGGATTATTTATGTTTTTGTTAATCTCTGTCTGCCTTCTTCAATACCATTAAACGCTGGAGAGTCTAATCTCACTTAAAGTGTAATTATTGTACAGTCTTTGTTAGCTCGGTGATGAACCTAAAAATGCTCCTGGGTTAGGAGGACTGAGTTGGTAAGATGCTGATGGCTCCTTTCCCATCAGGTGGCAATCTGCATGAACCTTTGTTGGCTTTTTTTTAAAAAACATTTTTGACTGAAAGCAGTGGTAAAATGACAAGTTTCATATGCAAGATCAGATGTTTGTGTTACTCTCTGTTTCAGTAACCCCCCCCCCCCCCACACACACACACACACACACACATAGAAACTCCTAAATTTGTGGACTTGTGTGTCAAAATACAAACGATGATCAAAAAGACTGGAAATAAAATGTGGCTTTTTACCATTGTTTCATTTTGTTCACTTCATACTTGATGTATATTGTGATTTTGAAAATGAAGTACTTCATTATTTTTCTTGCTTATCAGAGGAGGACTGGATGCAGTTGAGTAGAGAAATCCCGTCGATATGAAACGGGAGCTGAAATGTGGAGATGATGTGCAAAGTTTAGGACTCAGTCAGAATAATGAGCAATTTTCCCTCAGTGATCGTGTGCAGTTTGTTGGTGCAGCATTATTTCCAGCTCTCTCAGCCTGCAGAAGGCAGCAATGCACCACAGGCCTCAGACCTGACAGGGAGGAAGGGGATGGGCCCTCAGCTGGACTTTGAAACTTCCAGATGTGTTGGAGCACCAGTGTTGCTTCACCACAGATCAAAAGCCAACCAGTGACACTCCTTTAAACCCTCTTCTTCTCTCAGCTGCTGTGGCGAGGGCTCTGTCCGTTGACATGCCTCCTGTCGCTGCCGGTTAAACGTCTTTAGCTGGGAACATTTTCATTAGAGCGGTTTTAAGAGACATTAAGAGTTTGGACAACAAACGAGGAAGAATGAGGCTGCCAGTGGAGATCAGCGTGTTCCTCATCTCTCTGTTGGCTCCTGGAGTTTTATTCACTGTAAACAAGATCCCGGCCTTTCAGGAGTAAGTTTAACATAATTTCTGTTGCATCTTATTGAAGACTTTTTGTTTGGTTTATGATCCCTGCTGGGATTCTTTTAAGATGACTCAAGACTCTCACAGGCCTCAAAGTCACAGGCAAATTATAAATACTTTGAACCTTGAGAAAAATGGAGTAAATTTACTACAAACCTTTATGTTGAGATTTTAAATACACTATTGTTGTCTGTCTAAGGATTCAGGGATAAAGTCAAAAGGCAGGCGCTGTACAGTAAATGAGTTCAATTAAAAATATTTCACAGATTAAGTTATTGAATTTCGTCTACAAATAAGACAAGGTAAATTTCTTGAAGGGACTGCAGTGTTCTCAACTCTTCGGAATACAGATAATTACATTAAAAGTCACAGTTTTCTTTAGGAAAATGATCAAAATAAGGGTTTACGATGAAAGTAAATGGATATCAATGTCGCTAACTGATTTCTTCAATGATGCACTCCCTCAAAAGTGACATCAAGGAGTTCATTCTGCACAGTCTTAGATGTTCCCTTAAACACAGTGGCAGTCTGCAGGTGCTCATGTAGCACTGCAAAATCCACCAATCCTCTAAAAACACCCCGATTTTCTGAGCTTTCACTTTCATCATGGCCACGCAGGGCAAGTTCAAATGCACCACAGAACTTGACGCAGCCTATTATTTTTGATAGAATGTGCCTGTTTTTGTCAACCTCCTCAATGTGCTTATGGATTCCTACCCTGTAGCCTTCATCAAGTAGAGATGAAATTTTATTGTCCTAAATATGGTCCTGGAAAAAGGCAGAGTGTGCTGTCTCTGGACTGCTGATTAATTGTGATGTTCGGTTCACCACGGGAGGGGGATGATATGCAAATCAAGCTGTATTCAGGTCTGGGCGCAGGAGAGGTGCGCCCCAGAATGGCCTATCTCTTGCAATGAAGAGGAGCTATAGAGTCTATGGGCAAAGATTTTTGCACCCCATTGTGGAAATACATCACCAGTCAGACAGCGTTGATGAACGAAACAACTTAACTCATCATTAACTATAAAATATTTATCTTACACAACAACAAAAAAATACTTACATATATTTCTAAATAGTTTAATTTTATTATTTAATTTTTATATGTCTTATTCAAGGTAATGTGGTGAGTGGTGGGGCAGCATCCTCTATTGGCCAGCCGCCACTGACTTAAACAACAAATTAAACATCAAAATGACAGTTTGAGCTCGAGTCAGGTTTAGGTGCTCAGACAAAATGATCAGCTGATGCTCTGACTGTCACCTCAGACCTCTTCCTATCCTGGGGATGGGAATGGTTGTCATGGGATCCGTTCTTCTCCTCCTCATCCTCACTCTGCAGCACAAGACAAAAGTGGACTCTTTATTCTACGGTACAAATACACAGTTTACTATGAAAAGAATGTGTGAGACAGTGGTGCTGTTGTTTCAATGTGTCTGTGTGTTAATGTGTGTGTGTTTAGTATTTGCAGAGTTGTCCTTCTGCTGCATGCTGGGTCTGACCAACGCTTTAGAGCAGGATGGGTTCATCTCTGGATTTATGGACTTTTATCTGAAGACTGTAAGAGGACCAGCTGAGAATCTGTGTTTGCACTTTTTTATTTGAGGAGAATATTTGTCTTAAACATTTGATTTTAAGGTACGATCTCTTGTCTGTTCAGGGCGAGTCTCACCTCAGTACAGCCTACGCTGTGATGATGTCTTACTGGGAGGCTGTGCACCTCATCCTCTTCCTCACAATGATTCACCGCATGTTTGCAGGGTAATGAATCAAAATCTGGCATGTGTGTGTGTGTGTTTAATGCTGGCTCTGCTGAAATTTGAGCATTCTTTATCTGTGCAGGAAGTCTTATCGAAGGCTGGGCCTGCTGTGGTCGGGGTCCTCCATCGCCAATCAGATCGTCCATGTTCCAGGAGTGATCATTGGTGAGATGTACAATGTTTAATGCATCATTTGGTCACAACATCATTGTGCTTTTGAACCTTTTATTTACAGTGTCCTTTGTTTTTGTCAGGGAAGTACGGGTCTAACATTCGACCAGCCTTTTGGAGGAACGTTCCTTTCTTTTTGGTGCCTTTTTGGGCAGCTTCCCAGCTCTTCAGCAGGCGGAGGGAGATGCCAGTAATAACAGCAGACAAGGTAAATTTGATTTATTAAGATCTGACGAATGTAATACTTTAATTGAAACTGTTGGAGCAAATAAACCGAAGAGGGAAAAAAACGTACTAGGATTATTATTTAAAGAAAAATGTGAATTAATTGTGTGTAAAGAACAAAAATGAGTCAAACAACCTTTCACTCTCTCAGTAGAGACAATTTAGATTTACCGATCAGTCTAACATGCATGTTTTTGGAAACTGGAGTATCCGGAGCAAACCCATGCTTGTATGGAAAGAACATGCAAACTCCACCCAGAAAGGGATTTGATCAGGCGACTTCTCACTGAGAGGCGACAGCTTTACCATCTGCGCCACCATGCTGCTTCTTTTGATATGGACAATGTTTAGTTTATTTTAAATTGGTTATAAAACTTAAGATGTTCATTTAATTTTAAATGAACTTGAATCAGATTAACAATCAGTTCAGTATAATTTTTGCAAAAAAAAAAAATCTTAAAAAATATATATTGTTAACAAATTCAGTTATTTTATAAAAACTAAATGAAAAAATAAGAAAATTAGTTAAAATTAAGATAATCTAGTGGTGTAAATCTGAGTGTGGTGGGAGGATTTATCAGGATTTTTTTCATGTGATGTCACAAAGTTACATGACATTTGTTTGTCTATTTGTTTTTCTTGCTCAAGTAATTTTATTGGAGTTTGAACAAACACAGACTTCCAGTTTATTTGATTATTATCCAAGTAGAAGATTAAGAATTTGCAACAATCACAACTCATTGTTAAGAAGTCTAACTTTACATTTTCATAAAGCTTTATTTAACATACCTTAAAATAAAGTTAGGAAACGATTTATATTATAAAAACACTTGATTCATCCATTTTTGTTTTAGCGTTACTGCTAATATGTTAACTTTGATAGTTTTTGAAACAGAATTGCATTTCCAATGATGCACTGGTTGTATAGTACATTAAACCATAAGAGGGCTGCTGTTTAACATACCATATTATTTTACATTATTAGTGTTTAGTGTACATCATCTTAGATCTTTTAGCATATTGTTTAGCATTCATTTGTATATCATAAAACCTTATAAAATATAACTTTTATACTTTATATTTTTACTATTTTTTGGTTTAACTTGGACCTTGAGTACACAATTTCATTCCACCTCATGTATCACATGTGATGTGAATGACAATAAATGAACTTGAACTTGAAAGAGCACTCAAGTTATAGTTTATATAAAAAAATTTAAACATAAATTGTGATAAAACATTGCTGTTTACTGAGTGAAGAATAAATCGTGTTCAGTCATGAGTTATTCAGCATGCAGGGGTTTCATCACCTGACATTTTGTCTCCTATGAGCAGATAGCCGTGGAGCAGAAGAAAAGTATTTTGTCTCGACCTGCTGACCTGCTCCTGTCTGTCTTCTTACTGGGAGTTCTGGTTTTCTTTGTTTTCAGAGGTTTGGTGAGTAAAATGCAACATTGGCCTTTTCAATATATGTATTTTTTGTCTTTTTGACTCATTACACATAACAAATAAACATTCTCTTGTGCGCCAGGTTGTTCTAGACTGTCCTCTGGATGTCTGTTTTACCTACATCTATCAGTACGAGCCGTACCTCAAAGACCCGGTCGGCTTTCCCAAAGTTATGGTCAGTTCAGAGATAATTAAAGGTTATATGCGTCCTCTGATCTTGTTCAAAACTCTGACTAATCGTGTTTGGTGCAGATGCTGGTGCACTTGTTTTACGCTGTACCCCTGGTCACCATCCTCCTCTATGGTCTAAAGACCCCTGGATGCAGCTGGATGTTGGACTGGACCATCTTCTTTGCCGGAGCCATGGCTCAGGTAACTGTGTTCATGGTGTTACTGATGTTAATCTTTAAATAAAGAGTTCAATTCCCTGCCTCACGGTGACCTCTGTGTCCTCTCCTGCTTTCTCCAGACCCAGTGGTGTCATATCGGAGCGTCTCTGCACTCCCGCACTCCCTTCACATACAGAGTCCCCGTAGACAAAAAATGGGCCGTCATCGCCCTCAATGCGCTGCCTGCCATCGCTCCGGCCCTGCTGGCCCTACGCTGCCACACCAATCCCGCTTTCTTTATGAAGCCTGTTCCTGAGGGGCAGACCAACAACGAGAAGAAGAAAAACTAGACCACACATCAGGCAGCAGCCTCTGAAGGCTGGGAAAAACTCAGCTGAACTGTTTACAGAATTAAACACGCTATTTTTCACCCCACAACCTTTAAACCCAGAGGAAATTTAAAAACTTTGTTCTCCGGGTCAACGTTTTTAAAGCTAACACGGCACTCCCTGCAGGGACTGTTGGACCCTGATAAGGATGGAGGAGAGGACTGTGACCAGATCGGACAGCGTTCAGGTGACTCATCCAGATATACAATCGTTTCAGATTTATATATCTAAAAACAGCCAACACATCACGAATTCACGAACGCAGGAATTCACATCAAAACTCCACTATTTATTTTTAGTCGTATGAAACTGTCAGAGTTAGAGAGAAGAAGTAGCTTTAAGGAACCGTGAGGACGGGAAGTGTTGAGAATAAAAAGAAAACAGCTTCAATAAAATATAAAAAACTGAAGGCTTTTTTATTGTCAATTTTCTATGACGCACAAAGGAGTGTAGTCAATCATTTTGTCCAAATGTGTGTATTTATTTCACATCAACACTAAAGAGAGAAAACGTCCCATCAGTGAAGCAGAGACCACGCAGATGTAACATGACTCGGGACTGATTTTACTCTTTGTTTATATCTTGTACGATTAAAAAGTGAACTCTCACTTGTGTGTATTTTTTCCATGGGAAACAAATATCTTTATCCAGCAGTGTGAGTGGCGTTTAGTGACCTGATCTTAGCGTGACCCTCTAATTAATTTGTTGAGAGACTAAAAGCTTCAGAGGTTCTGTCTGGGTTGTCAATATTGCCCCCAGCTGTGACCTTATTGAACAGCAGGAACAGTGCTGAACTGATAAGAGGTGAACCCTGGATTTAGGTGAGCTGTCACACACACAAACACACACACGTCATACACTTAATCACATGACACACAGAAAATGAATCTGTGCCTCATGCAGCTTGACTTACCTGCCAGAATGTTGATTTCATGTCTTGGATTTAAGGTTTAGGCTACAACAAACGTCCATAGCTGCTGTAAGCAAAGATAATTTATTTTTAAATACTTGTTTGTTTGTTTAGAAGTTAACCATTGCAATGATTTAGTACTAAAATCATAGATTTTCTGAGAAGCAATGCAACATCGTTCATGAACCTCATAAAGTCTGACATCATTTTCTTTTTAAATGGAAAAAAAAACAAAAAAACAGATATACTGGTAATAATGTATTTTTCATCCTATTTTATGACACGCTTCATTTTTTAGCAAGAGACTGATGTTGATAGAGATGTTGCAACTAAAAATAAGTCATTTTCTGTTGAAACGAACATGTTTCCATGACAACAAACCTGCTTTGTGAGTAAAAGAACAAATAAAAGTCATGTTCACTGCACTGATAAAAAACAAAAAGAGGCATGTCAAGAATTACTGGATGGAAAAAAGTTTTAATTTAAAATATTATTTTCTTTATTGTGATAATTGATATGCATTAGTTGACTGTGTTGTCTTCAGCTGATTCAGCTAATTTAATTAAGATGATTTTAGGAAGGTCAGATTGATGCTGATGTTTGTGTTAAAGCTGCACATTCATTAACTGCAGTTAGAAAATTGAGATGATGGAAGTCTGCTGTCAGCACCACCTGCTCTTTGCAGCAAATAGTTTTATGTATGTCTGTATGCATTTAATAACTTATCCTTATTTTATAACCTCTCAGTTCCAAGTAGAGTGAGAGCAGAGACGCCTGCAGTTGTAGAGAAAGATGGCCTTTTGGGATGAGCCTGAGGCCTTTATACCTCCATTCAGTCTGCGCTGTCTTCTGTTTGATTTAAGTTCCTCTCTGTGATGTCAGGTTCACATTTATACAGCTATCCATAAATCTGAAACAACCTAAATTTGTCCTCATCACGGTTCCTGGAAGTCAGCTTTAATCTGTGAGTGTGGTTAAACATGATGTTATGACATCTCCCCGACAAAGACAATATGTTTAAAGCTTCTTTCTCAGATGGAAATTTCAGTTTAAAGTCTGTCTCATATTGCAAAGAGCTTTGAAACTGACAGAAACAGATACAACTGTGAATGTTAAGAATGTAAAGGTCATTTGTATATTTCGTCATTAAACCAACACCTGAAAAGTGGTTGTCACAGTTTAGTACATTTCTACAAAGATGGTTGACCTGCAAGAGATGCACAGCTTGTTCAAGTTCAAAGATGCTGCAAACTCCTAAATGATTAGATCATGATTTACAGTGGAATCCAGTCCGATCATTGTTGGGATTTTTATGTCCTGACGACACACACATGCTCACACAGACAACACATCACCTTTATGTTGCTGCTTCCCACAGACTTGGGTCTTCGGTGGATCCAGAGGACGGGATGACAGAGGGGGAGTGACTCAGCGAGATGGGAGGTGAGCCAAGGATGGAGAAAGAACAATGAATGCTGCTGCCAGGTTTCCAGCAGGGACTCGTCCGTCTCCCTCTCCTCCGCTGAGCACTGCTATCGCTTCATCGTACCCAGGAAACAAGAGGATGTCCATTCATAGTGTGACCTTCACCTGCCCTTTGGGGCCTTTTGTCACTTCCCTCTGAATTTTTATCACAACAGCAGCTCACATCAGATTTTGTCATTTGTCTTTAAAGCAATGTTGCAACTTTGACCCTCTCTGTTTGATCTAAATAAATATATACGTACTTATAAGTTGTGCTCTTATAATAAAAATCATAAGGCTTTATTTAAAAAAAAAGAAAGTGAAAATAACAAAAAAAAAAAAAAAAAACGGTGACGGCTACCCACAAGACAGATCTGGTTGGCAGACCGTAGACTGAAGAAGTCTTCTGGATGGGGTGCGAAATGATTCTCACTTAAAGGAACTGGTCCAGATGACACAATTTATCCTTTTTTATCATAAGACTTCATTTACTTTAGCTGTAGCACACTGGTAATATGCCGTATACAAAAGGTAAACTAGGAATTCAATATGGAAAACTGTCCGATGTGTTTTACAGAAATGTAAGTTATTGAACGGTTTAATAGCACAAAGTTCATCTGTTTCTAAAAGTGGAAGAAAAATAAAGCAAAATTACTCATTAAAATATCCTGATGCATGCTCAATAATCCAGGTAGAATTATGGATTATTGTGGATATCCTAACTGGGCCTTCCTGAAAGCAGAGAAGAAACCCAAACAGGACTCCAGTCAGCCATCAGGTGAAAAGGAGGAACCCAGACCCAGACCAGGGGTCATTCCGTATGTTGAGGGGGTATCAGAGAAACTGAGACGTTTATTTTCCAAACATAACGTCCCAGTGGCTTTTAAACCCCAAAATACATTACGGCAAAGACTGGTTCATCCCAAAGATCCAGTCCCCCGGCACAAACAGAGTAATGTTGTGTATGCTGTTCAGTGTCAGGAGGGCTGTGATCAGTCTTACATCGGGGAAACAAAACAGCCACTGGCCAAAAGGATGGCCCAGCACAGAAGATCAACATCATCAGGCCAGGATTCTGCGGTCTACACTCATCTCCAGGCCAGCGGTCACTCTTTCAGGGATGAAGATGTTCACATCCTGGACAGAGAGGAACGATGGTTTGAGAGAGGAGTAAAGGAGGCCATCTTTGTGAAAAGAAACCGTCCATCATTAAACAGGGGTGGAGGCCTCCGGGTTCAACTGTCCCCCTCTTACAATGCTGTGATTGCTAGTATCACAGCCCTCTGTGAACAGTAAACAGCCATCAGTGTGCTAATGATCCATTGTTAGGCTGATGGTCCTTCTTGAGCATGTGATCAGCTGGTTTTGGTTGTCAGCAGCAAAACTGGTTGATCCACGCTGAGACGGTGCTATTTAAGAGACTGAGCTGAATACAGCTCCTCAGACTGAGGAAGTCTCTCGGATGAGAGACGAAATGTTTCTACATTTTTTTGTTGATTTGCTTTGTTTTGTTTGTTTTTTAAATGTCCAGAGGACCAGATTTAACTTTTTTAGATACTCATTAAAATGTTTTTTTTCCTCACATACACTGAGGAATAGCAAAGGTTTTATAACTTTTTCCATTAGGAAACGTGCATCCCTTTCCTTATCCTGATAACGGACTATAAGTTTTCGTAAACCGCTTATAAATGTAAGTTTATTGTTTATGCCATGTATTGTGTGTAATTCCTCTCCCCCGATGTTATTTTCTTTGGGATTTTCTTGTAGAATCCTGTGATTTCTGTGTAGTTGCTTTTGTTTCTAGTTTTCTGATTCAACCAGACCTTTGCTATTCATCACCTCCCTCACCTTTTTTAATTTTTTGGCCAATTTGATCTTTATCTTGTATTTCTTAATGCATCTGTCTTTCTCCATCAAGTGTAGTTTTGTTGTCTTGTCTTATGTTCTTTGTTTCCCTTTAATGGTTACTTGCTTTTGCAGAGCTGTTTTTTAGTTCATTATTTAGCAAACCTTTATTTAGACCGGTTAATCCCATTGAGCCTCAATGACTCATTTACAAGAGAGATCTGATTTCTTAACAAAGAGTGATGACAACAATGGATAACAATAACAATAGACGGTCATAAAATAGGCATACAAATTTAAGTTTCTCCTTTTTTTTTTTAACAAATCGAAACAAAACAGCAACCAAAAGGACAATCAAGAGGACTAGTAGCAAAAAACAGCTAGATCACAAGGCAATTTAGAAAACTAAAAACAGGAACATTATTAAAAAAAAAAAAAAAAAAAAAAAAAAGGTTTTTAATGTTAAAAATTAACATTATTAAAAGGTGTCTTTGTTTTGTGCCTGTCGCCAGCATGTTTTAGTCTGGGTCCTCCACATTTACCATGATATTTCTTTAAAACGTTCCTGCATCCGTCATGGAAACTTTATTTATAAAGTCTGAAGATCATTGCACATTCAACCCAGATGTATCAGACTCTTTCACACTACTTTCATGCTGCTGTTTAACAAGGAACCAGGTTTAAACTGAAACAAGAAACCACAACATGAAGTGATGTTGTTCATTTTATTCACTTTATTAAGAATGAAATACAACAACCGGACAAAATAAGTCATAAGAACACCAAAAAAATAAAAAAGTGGATGACTGATCAAATATCAAAGGGACATAAAATAGTGACATTCTACCAGTTTGTGTAAATACGTGCAAAGGTTCAAAGATACAAACGCAAATCAGATACAATCAAGCATTTATAAGGGAATATTTTACAATCCCAGTTCTTCATTCTATCTCAATGGGATATATTTGTTACAGAAGTCTATTTGATTGGACAAAGTCCAGCTATTGATCAGCCAATCGCAAGCGACATATTTACAAAATGGAGATTAGAAGCAATCAAATGGTTTGTTACTGATTGAACTCAAATACTGGCATAGAAAATGATGTTTCATCAGCTCTTTCTGGAGTACTGTATAAGTAAAAAAAACGAGTATTCACTAGCAAATTATTCATAATAAATAGTACAGAAACAGCAAATATTAGAAAAAGCATGTTAGTCAAACGATCAGCTACTTCAGAGCTTTACAGGAAAAGGAACAGCTACAGCACACAAACAATCAGCTCGGGGTTAGGTCAGATCTTTCATCTCTGCTGTCCGCGTTTTTGTGAAGAATGAGCAAACTTTTACATAAAAGACGCCTCTCTAATATTCCATTTGACATGCATACGCTCGCACACGCACACGTGCACACTGCTGTCAGTCAGATCAGTAGGGTTAGAGTTTGTTAGACAGAAGGAGAGACGACTCTACTGGAGAGAAAACGAGTTAATTCTTCTGGTTGGACGTCGGTTAAAGGAAGCATCAAAACAATGAAGCTCAGGGATGAGATGATGGAAGGTAGCGGAGTGTTAGTTAGTAGACAAGCTTGTTTCTTAAAAGTAATCAAAGCCAGGAGCGAGGGGAGCAGCCAGGGGACAGGAGGGACCTACTGTCTGTCTTTACAGGCCATGGTTAGCACCTAGCAGGCACTGCGTTATTTGGCTCAGTAGTAGCTGTGCACGTCCTCCCTGACTCTGCGGCCCTCGCCTCCATGTTTCCTGTTCCGGCGATGTTCGTGGTGCTGATTGTGGTGATGGCGTCTGTACCGGTGCGAACGCCGAGCTACAAGAAGGAAACATTTGTTCACGTGGTTTTAACTACAAATACAAAAAAAAAACAAACATCTGGTTCTTACCAAATCTTACATATTTATTGCTCATTGAGAAATATGTTATATTTGCTAGGAGATGCCAATTAATTAAGCCCACACAAAAATTATAACTGAGTCCAGATGTTGAGCTAAAGTTTGATGTGGTAGTAGCAGATTGTTGTTCGCAGCACATACTCTGGGTGTGTGTCACATGAGGTTGTGCATAACATATTTTTCTGATAATAACAGCTAAAACTTTTGTTTCAGCATAGGATGAACTTATTCCAGAGCTCTGGCATGAAAGGCTGTGGGTGATGTGGCTCCCTTCAAGGCTTGCCAAACCTTTATTTAACATTGATCTAACAAAAATTAAACAGAAATGTGTGGAAGCAGGTGCGTGAAGAACAAAATCCATCTTTCCTACTATAGGAATTAGGAGGGGACTAGTACTCATCAGCTGTGTGTACACCTCAAGAATTACTGAAGTTTTGAAAGCAATAAGCAATAAATTTGTCTAAACACTATGACAGAAAGTGAAAAAACAAAAGATTTTACAGAAGCCGTTTTTGTTGCACATCAATTTGGAAATAGTTATGAGACAATTTTTACATTTTAACAGTAACAAAATTTGTTCATTAAAATCATTTAAAATTGTTGCTAATTTTTCACAGAAATTGGTGAACAAGCAAGTTCTTCCTGAGTTCACGTCATATAATGCTCAGAGGTTAAACAAACTAAAAGCTACAGCTTAGTCAGAAACCTTAAATATCCCTTCTTAAAGATATTTCTTGTACAAGTGGTTTACAAGCTATTAAGTCAACTTTTCACACATTCACATTGTTTATTGGTTGAGTTTTCATTTAAATAATACAATTTTTTAAACTAAATGAATCCTATTTTAATGGGTTTTGTTCATTTTTGTGCCTAAAAATAGTAAAAAAAAAAAAAACTCCAGAAACTGGGTCATAATAACCTAGAAAAGTTAGTTAAAAAAGGTCATAATACACGGAAACTTGAAAAACCTTTAGTATGACTCAAGTGTAAAAGCACAGCTACACAGTGTTTATGAAGCCTCTCAGTTTAATACTCACACTTTGTGCAGATAATCCTGGGCCGCTCCCAGCTCCCGTCGGCCCGGCAGCGTGTCGTGGGGATGTGGCGCTGGTAGAAGCCCTCAGAGCACTGGTAACGCACAACTGAGTGGATGTCATAATGTGATCTCCGCCGACCTATTAAATGGGCATTTTCTATTGCAGGTGGTGTCCCACATAGCACTGCACAAACACAAAGAAACAAAATGTATAAATCAAACAGCTCAAATAAACTCGCATATTAGCAATTATCATTATTTTTAATCAATTGGAGCAAAGGTCTGCAGTCTTTAGCTTTGTGGAGGAATTATCAAAATCAGAATAAGTTTTATTATCATTGCACTGGGATACAGCGAAATTATGTTAGTACAGTCGTCCAAAAGATGGGCGGAGTGCACGTTGCTGCTGCTATAATAGCACAGCCTCATAATCTTTATCAGAATACTTTTAGATAGATAAAGGTAAGAGCCATGAGGATGGATAATGATATTACAAAAAATATCTCTTCGCATCTTGTCATATCAGGACAGGACATGATTAGAGACATCAAAAAGCTAGCAGCAAGTACATTTATAAGCATGATTACATATGCATTTGATGTCAAGACGTTGAGATTTGTCCATAAGCACTTTCAGATAGGCCACGGTTCTGATGTTGTTGTTTCAGCCGGCAGTTCTGCTAAGCCTGCACATAAGTTCTCGAGGGTGGATGGGGGGAGGGGGGTGTATTAAACAAAGCTTTTTCCCTAGTTACCCATGTTCCAGGAAAAATTTGATAATCGGCTCGTATCCAAGGCCAAATGGGGGAGTCCAATTCAGATAAGCCACAATTGTTGATTTTTCTTCAGGCAGACTGTTTTTTATTTCTTGTCAGTCGCAAGTCCTAGGAGCCTCGGATGGCCTGAGATTCTCACAATAGCCTCATCTTATGGTTTAGCTAATTAAGAAGCTGCTTTTGAGTACTCATAGCACGAACCAAACCTTCACACTGACTCAGAAGCTTTGTCATGGCTGAAACTGCTGCCAAGGTCTTCTTCAAAAGTTGATAAAACAGCCTGCCGATGCCAAAGAGCAGAACTCCTGCTATCATAAATCCAAATATATATAAACGTCTTTAGCGTCCTCCTGAGCCAGAACTGAAAGACACATCAGCTGCCAAACTTTCCACAAATTTCTGATGTACCCTGCAGCATGAGTCTCAGCCAGACAAGAGGATTCTCCAGGACCCTGTTGTTTGGTTGAAAAGATTTTGTTGATTGCATCGAAAGTCCAGCTCACCAGATCCATGATAGTATTTTTCGAATGATGGAAATGAGTTAGCAGCAGCAGCATGAGGAGGCGGTGCCAGGCTTTTGTGGTTGTGTATGGTTCTTCTGCATGCTACTGAAGCTCCTGTTTGTTAAATGAATGAATTGTTAAATTGCTAATTTGTCTTGTTTTTTCAAACTTCAATTATCCAACATAATTAACAACACCAAACAAGTCATTAGCAGAACAGGCTGTTTGGCATTGGCAAAGAAGATTTTCACACAGCCCATATTTTAAACTCTGCTGCCCAACCCTAATATGCCCTTTCCTTACAAATGTGGCACAATTTAAGAATAAATTAAATAAGCTTTCCATTGTTATAAGATCTACTGCCAAGAAGCATTTTTTTTAAACAAAGAAATAACTAAACACTAATTTCCTTACTTTTTGTGCTAAATTTATACCTTTTTTTGCTTGACACTTTAAAAGCAAACATGTAAATGCCGTAATGCAACAAATAGGTATATTCATAAAATGTATATATAAAATAATAACCCTTTACAATTTGTTTTATCATAATTTTAAGTGACAAGTACATTTTGTGGCTCTTTACCGTGTTTTTTTTTTCTTGTAGGAGAGATTTAACGTTTTATTTTCCCACTCAGTGGTTGCAGACCTCTCAAGTAAAGGGTAATAAAATAGCCATCCCATCAGGTGATGATGCGCAGTAAAAGTGAGTGCTGACTCCAGGTGGCAACATTGTTGTTGTATCTGATCCCTGAGAAAGTTTTGTGTCTCTTCAGAGGACGAGGACTGCAGCCAAGAGACAAGAGCCAGACAAACGAACACAACTTAGCTACCAGACCTCCTCATCTATCCTTTATCTGCCTCCTCTAAAACCACATGAAAACTGCAGACCAACTTCAATTTTGCAGCCTGAGCGAGTGGACCAGAGATGCCAATAAAAAGGAAGATTGAGATTGACATCCCTCTGAAAGATCAATACTCGGACCAGAGCACAACTTTCACTTAAGTTTACTTTAGTCATCACTTTTTTTATTTTTTTTATTTTTTTGAGACTGCTGATGCTGCTGTGACCTTCAGTGGAGGAAAAACTGAAAGTTCTGTGAAACGTTGGCTGAAGTTTGTGAAAAGTTCTCATCCTGAGAAGAAGAGGCGATGATGAGCGCCGATGACTAACAGGCAGCCAGCTGGTCACATACAAGCAAGCACACTGTCTCCTTCCCATGACTTATGAAGCTTTCACTCTGTGGGAAAATTTCACCACTTGTCAAACAGAGAAAGAAGAAAAATTGTGTTCTAAAAAACAAAAATCTGAACATTTAACCCATTTTTGTGAAGTGCTGTCAGCTGTGTTCCAGTACCTGTGCCTTTTTTGCAGATGTAGGGCAGGTTGTAGTTGCAGGGCACGTCGTTCCACTTGCCATCCTCGTGGGCGATGGTCACCACGCAATCCTCCCCACCTGCGAAGAAGTTATCCGGCTGGCTCTCCCTCCAGTTCTCATAAACCTGCACAGCAGAAAACACCAAAAGTCAGCTTTCATTTGCTTTTAGGAGTGGAGATCTTTACTCTTCTTGTAACAAAACTCAAATACTAAAAAACTTCATATACACATGATTGCAATTTGAGAGGGCTTTGCACATAAACAGGATTTTAATTTGAAATAAAAATAGATTTCTCATTTTGTTGTCATGCATTAATCAGAATCAGAAAGTCAAACGGCTCAGATCTTATTTATTTGTCAAGTTTGATTAAACTATGTTGTCCTGGATGGCTGCTATATGTATTTAAAGGTTGCTAGGTCTTATGTAAATGTAGTCGGCCTATAAAGTATCATTAAACAATCGGATGTTATTTAAAGACAGACCGTTTAATGTATTTATTTCTATTGATTTGTAAACCTTATATAAAGGAAGAGTTGTAGGTGTTCGCTAGATGTTTGAGCCTTCTGTGTTTTGTCTTGTCATTTCTCTTTTCCTTGCCTTTCCTGCACTCCTGTTTTTCTCTTCCTTGTTGTTCAGCTCCTTTCTCATCTGTCCTCAATCCTAATCACCCCAGGTGTTCGTCATTTTGTCTTGTCAGCCTCTCTGTATATTCAGCATCTCTGTGTTTTTCCTTTGTCAGTGGATTGTGCTCCCAAGCCTGTCATGCTCTGTCTCCCTCCATGTCTCCCTGCTCCAGTAATTTTGTAAATTTTTCTGCCACGACAGCTCTTGTTTTTGATCTTCTGTTAATAAATGAGAAATTATTTATTTTATCTTTGAATTCCTCACATCTGTCTGCACACTGGGTTCAACAAACCACAGAACATATCTTCTTTCCTGCTCAAGCAAATAATAATAAAAAAAATTGCTCTGCAGTTTAATCAGAGCTGCAAACGCCTGGCAAGAAGATGCAGCACTGACATATTTAAAAAAAAATTAAAGTGTTTGTTTTAAAATAGCTTGAAAGGTTTTATTTAGCCAAAATCACACAGAAAGTTAGTAAGATGAAATATATTTTAATTTGAACTGATTGCAAAATTTATTTAGTCCCCACACAAACACACTGGTTTATATTTGCTCGCTCACTGCAGCCAAAAAATGTCTTAAACGCTGCAAAATTACAAAAAGGGGCTGTTGTTATCCAAAACAATATGCCACAATACACCTCCAGATTGACAGACAGATTTAAATTTTAACATCTTTATCAGAGAGTGCTTGGAGCGTTTTGCTACATATCAGTGTGTGAACATATAATTCACTGTGACTGAGCAGATTTGTTCGCTAACATGATCTGTGCACAGGCACCACACGTTTTTTCTGGTGTTCATCCACATGAACATGTTTTTATGTTCTACAGGAGCAAGTCTCAACTCAACTCAACTTTATTTTGGTAAATTAAAAACATTACAAAAAAAAAAAAAAGGAAAACAATATAAAATGGCAAATCAGTTATTTACCAAGAAAGGAATAGGCTGAAGCCTAAGTCTTGAGCAAGAAAGCCTAAACTGTTTGTTCTCTATGTGCAAGTCACCAGAAATATTTCAGCTGTCATTATACCTGTAGGTCTTAACTCACAAATTGTATTTTTATACTTTTCATTTGGTGTAAATCTTCTCATCAACTGCTTTTTGAGGAATGGATATTTTAATAGACACATTAAAAACTGATCGCAGACCAGATCATTGCCGTCAGTCCACTGAAAGTCGTCCTCCACCGTCCGATCGTTCAGACCAACCCAGGCGTTGTCGTGTCCCAGACCTAAAAAAACCCAAAATGTCCTCAAATTATTTGTTTTGCATGTGTTAATTCAATTCAACCTTTATTTATACAGGTTAGTCTCATTGAGCCTCGGGGACTCGTTTACAAGAGAGACCTGGTTCTAACAAAGAGTGATGACAACAGTGGACAATCATAAAAGAAAGCATACAAGTTGAGAAGAACAAGTGAAAGAAAATGGTATTAAAAAAAACGAAACAAAAACATCGAGGTTGTAAGGCGATGTAGAAAACTAAAAAGAGGAACATGTCTACATTGGTTCTTGCCAGGAACTTAGATGCTTGAAGCCACTTAGGTCAAGGTTGAGAGCTTCAGATCTTTTTGCAAGATATTCCAAGAAGCAGGAGCGTAGTAGGAGAAGGCCCTTTAGCCTAGTTCAGTCCACACTGAGGGGACACTGCAGGTAATAATGTCCTGAAAGCGCATGCTGTAGCTGCACTCACACAGAGACATGTAGGAGATGAATGGAGGCAGCAGAACAAAAAATTATTTAAATATGAAAATTCAGTTTTTATACAGTATTTTTTTTTCCTGTTTATAGTGTTTGTAGACATTTATCTGCTTCTGCTACATTCAGCTGTTTTACTCATTTTGGTATCAAAATGTGCAGCTCATTTGGGATAATTGTGAAATAACTAACTTTTATAGTTGTTTAAATATTTATCTTACTGAGTTTTTTTTTCCTCATTTTTGTTTTATAAATAAATAGTAATTTAAAATGTAACTACTTTAAGCTTTCAAGTTTTTGTTTAACTTATTTGAAATTTTAGGTACTGTTCTGACAATTTTAGCTTTTATGTATTGCTGTGCTAATTTTAGTTTTTATTTAAATTTGTAATTTTTAGCATCTGTTTGTCTGACTACTTTTAGCTTTGCAATATTCAGTTTTATGTATAATTTTGCTACTTTAAACATTTAGCTACTGTGTGGATAAATTTAGTTTTAGCTACTACTTTGGTAATTTTTAAACATTAAGCTACTGTTTTGATAATCTTAGCTTCTAAGTATAGTTGTGCTAATTTTAGGTTGTAGTTACTGTGAGTCTTGTTTTAGCTTCTGTTCTGCTTGTTTTAGCTTTAACAGTTCAGGCTTAGTTCCTTTAACAAATGTCAGCTTCTAGCTCTTAGCAATCACGTCTTTTTGCATATTGTAATTTTTTTTTTAGTTTAATTAAGTTATCTGATAATTTTGCTATTGACCTGCTTTTTCTTGCTTTGTCACTTTGTTACATCATAGGACATGTTAAGCAGCAATAACAAAATAAATATTAATATTCTGTTTATTCAACTTGCATTGATTTTTCTATTTGTTTAAGATGTTAAAGTCTTCTAATTTTATTTTGAAAAGGTATATTACAAGTAATACAGAATGCACCTAAATTACCAGACTTCATACCATTAATAAACTCCTGCTCAGTGCTGGACAGGACGCTGCTGAGGTGTGCACTGTGCTCTCGGCAGTCTTTCTCTGCATCCTCCCAGGTGTGTCTGTGGCTGAAATACCTGAAGAACACCATAAAAGCTCAAGTGAAGTGATATATGTCATTTATTATGCAGCCAGACAGGTTTAAATGCTTCAGACCGGGATTGTGAGTTTATCATAGGCGACTTGAGACTTTAAAAGAGCAATAAGTGGATGAGTTGCTGCAGGAAGACATATTACAACCCCATTTGTTTTACAACAAAGATCGTTTTAATGAGTCTTACCGGTAGCAGTGGCCGTGAAACTTCCTCCAGCCATGCTCACAACCTTCCACATCTGAGAAAAGAAAATGAGAGAAGTGAAAACAACTTCCTCCTAAACTTATAGTGAAACGGTGAAGGCTAAATAATACCGAAGGAAAAACATCCTGAAAAGTAAGAAAAATAAAAGAGCATTTTATCTTATTTGGCAAATAAAATCCTAAAATATACGACTTTGTCATCATGACAAGCTTAATACATGAGCTGCAATTATATGCACTTATTTTCAATTCACTGCACATCATGTGGCAGTACTGGTTTTCATTAATAACACCAAGGTCTGGGCATTCATTTATAACTGCAAAGGTTAGATATTCATTATTCCTCATTACTGCAAGAGCACACACTCACACACACACGCGCACACAGATCCAGCTTGAAAGCAGGAGCTGGAGGTGGATTGAACCAGCGAGGTGAATCAGCACGTCTGAATGTGAGAATGTGAGCGTGGGTTTGAATGTGCTCAGATGAGAATCAGACAGACTCTGATGTCAATCTTTCCTCTGTCTTTGAGTTTATTACTCACACTGAGCATGCTCAGGAGATCAGATTGGATTGTATTGTTGTTGTTTTTTTGTTGAATTTTGGACTGATAATCTGATATCAGCTCATTTATTGCTGCAACATGCCTCTCTGGTTACCTAACAAGGATTACAATTTTACATTATATCACATTAGACAGACTGTATTTTGGGTTCAGTAAAGGCTTAATCTGGTTTATTTTTAGAAAACGGCTTCACTTAATGTTATAGCAGCTTAAAAAACATTTAAAAGTACTGTGTATGCAATGTAGAAAGACTGCAAAGAAAATATATATTTTCTATAAGACAACATTCTGCGAAAACTTAATATTAGCACAAATAACTCCTAACTGTTAAACACAGCAGTGGAAGACTAATGATTTGTTTTACACTTTATCTGATAGATTCCAGTTTGTTCGTGTTAATAAGTAATCTTTTTCATACACCAGAGATCGTCATGGAGTTCCTCAGGGTGCAGTGCTTGGACCAGTACTCTTTACATTAGGTAAAGTTATTATTCATCACAGGATTAACTGTCATTGTTATACTGATGAAACTCATTTATGTTTATCCATGAAAACTGTTGAATCCAATTGGCTACTTAGCTTACAAACATGTCTTAAAGACATAAAATCCTGGATTACTATTAAAATTCTGCTTTTAAACTTGGAAAAGTCAGAGGTCATGGGTTTCAAACTTGAACAACTTGGAAAGAAATTTGCAACCTTTCACTTCTTCTGGTTGGAAATAGTTTGACTTCCAGATCTCATGTAAAGGATCTTGGAACCCCCACATTAAAAACGTTACTAGAACTGCCTTTTTCCACATGCAAAATATTGCTAAAATTAGAAGCATCTTATCTAAAAATGATGCAGTAAAACTGGTTCATGCATTTGTCACATCTAGACTGGACTATTGCAATGGTTTGTTTTCTGGGTGTCAAAAAACTTCTTTAAAAAATCTTCAGTTGAGTCCAGAATTGAATTCAAAATCTTACTTCTAACCTACAAAGCTCTCAACAACCTAGCTCCATCTTATAGTCGAGATCTTACTGTTCCATATTTTCCTAACAGAGCACTTTGCTCTCAGACTTCAGGTTTACTTGTGGTTTCTAGAGTTTCCAAAAGCAGAATGGGAGGAAGATCTTTCAGTTATCAGGCTCCTCTGTTGTGGAACAAACGCCCAGTTTCTGTCAGTGAGGCTGACACATTGTCTACTTTTAAAGCTAGGTGTAAGTCTTTTCTTTGTGATAAATCCTATAGTTAGGATCAGCTTGGGTTTCCTGAGCTATCCCTTAGTGATGCTGCTATTGGGTTAGACTGCTGGAGGATAAATTGACCACATTTCCTCACTCTGCTGCTGTCTTTACTTTGTCTAATCTACCTGTTTGTATTTGTAATTAGTTCTATCTTTAACAAATAATTTTTATTTTTGTCTTTCCCCTCATAGAAACCACACCTGGATCAGCCACTTTGTGTTTGTCTGTGTCTCTTTCCAGTCCTTTCCTTCCCCAGCCAGTCAACACAGATGGCTGTCTATTCTGAGCCTGGTTTAGATGTTTCTTCCTGTTAAAAGGGTGTTTCTCTCTTTACTAATTGGCATTTTATCATGTGCATGTTTTGTACAGAGCCCTAAGGCAACATTTGTGAGGAATTGGAGTTATATACATTTTTCTGAATTGAATTGAGTTATACAGTTTTGACACATTTGCAGTCATTGGTATCACTAGTAACTTCTTTGTAAACCTAAATATTGTGAAATCATTTGTCTGGCTCCTAAAACTTGGATGGATTGGGAGCAATGTCTCTCTATAAATAACCTTATGATAAAGCATCAGAAAGTATATAACAAAGTGGCTGCAGGAAAAAAAAATGGTGTTGCAAAGCAAAGTAGTGACATCAACTTATTTATTAGTTAGTGGTAATAAACAAGCTATTTGCTTCAAAACATCTTCAAAATGAGAAAGCAGAATATTGACTGAAATTCCTATAGAGTAGTATAAGAGACTATTAGCTCACACAAAATTAAAATATATAATTTGTAAAATGCCAGGGATGGTTGTTTACATGAAGCTGTATTTTACTATTTCAAGACGTGGTGAAGACATAGCTTTTATCATGACATTATTAATTAAAAACCTTTACTTCTTGCCAGCTGTAAAAAATAAAACTCAGTTAAAAAGATAAATGCTGATAGCAAATACTAGTTACTAGAAAGAATACTAGAAAGTTGTTGTTCGACTCCCAGCCATGCCCACATGTCGTGGTGTCCCTGAGCAAGACACTCAATCCCTAATTGCTCCCCAGGTGCTTACATAGCTGCCCACTGCTCCACCAGGCTGTATCTCAGGTTTGATGGGTTAAATGCAGCAAACTAATATTGTCATTGTACGAGAACATACAGTGATGACAACACATAGCACTCAGTGCCACGGCACTTCTTTCTTCCACATAAATTGGAAAAACATGATTTTACAACTTCAAATAAAACAATCTTTTCTTCCAATTGAATGCCTAGCGTTCATTGAAGGAATTCCTCTCCGTTGCTGCTTTCCATGTCAGAGTTAGACTAAAGTCACCCTATGTAAATAAAAAAAAAAACAATAGAGTTGTATTTATTTTGGTAAAACCCCAAAAATAATCTACAAAGTAACACACCGATGCAATATCTTGTGTGATCTGTTAGTGATTGATCTATGACTCTCAGCTACTACCTCACCAAATCTTTCCTCAAAATCTGCAAAACTCTCTATAGGTATAACCATGTTTTGGTGCAGACTAAGGTCACGAAGCTGTGTTGGCCATCTTGAACTGGGTTGATTCCAAAAGTGAATAATTTGCACATGTGTAGCTAATTCATTTCTGAATGTTTCATTGGAATCAGGTCAGTGGTTCGTGAGATATTCTGCTAATGGTACAAATACACACAGTGGAGCAGTGAATCATAACTGGTGTTGCTCTGGAGGTAGCTTCTGTTCTTGGTGGGTTTTATGTTATAAAGAGATGTTGCATTCAGAGGCAGAAAGGTTTTTTTTGTTACAAGCCATAAACACACACACAGAAAGTGACTTTAAAAAAACAGCTTTGAAAAGGAAAACAAATTGAAGTAATCATGGAATTGAAGATTATTATGTTATCAAAAGAACATGTCCCACTTGGGAATCTATATGTGTCATGGCTGCCCAGACAGTTGACTTGTTTAGTTCTTGAAGTTCACCCTTGTTTCAGAATATCCTCCAGAAACTATGGCCAGGAAACTGTGGTGCAAAGTGGTGCTTGAAAAAGTGAGATCATATCAGCACATCTTTGAGATTCACTCAGTGTCTGTGGTCCTGTGACACACAGACACATTGTCAGATATGTAAGACGAGATGAGACTTTGTGATGTAGAGTTTATACATACAGCACATTTAGGATTATTGATTAGGATTATTTCCACAGTAAAGCAAACTGTACTTGTTCTGACATGACGGAAAGATGAGTAGTGCAAGCATAATGGTGAATCATAGTTCTGCACAGTCCAGTTTCGTTTCACACAAATAAGCAATGCATGACGATTCCTCTTGCACGGGAGCCGCCAGATAGTTCTCCGTCTGTTCGACTGCAGTGCACTCCTTCTCACCTTTCTCACACGTGTCTCCCCCGTAGCTCGGCAGGCAAAGGCAGAGGAACGAATCAATCTTGTCGACGCAGGTTCCTCCATTTTCACATGGCTCGGACTGGCAGTCATCAACATCTGCAGAGGAAAAGGCAGCGAGAGGAGACCAGTTGTAGATCTCATTAGGCTTCAAATTCAAATAATGTATTCATCTCGAGCCGTGCTCACGAAGACAAAACGGGGGGAAATGTGCAGCAATTCAAAATCTGACACAAAATGAGCCGCCTATTAGTCCTGCTTTAAATACTGAAATGTGCCCGTGATGGCGAGTGCATTATCATAATTCAAACAGGGTGTGAGCAGAATGCAGATGAATAATTTCCCCCATTTTTATTGTTTTATTCTCGTCCTCTCGTAAATGAAGCCACCGTAAGTGTTAAAACATTTGTTTAGCGTGTTTACAGAGCCGACATTTTTTTATTCATCGTGTTTGTGATCTGTTTTATGTCCCTGTATATTGTTTTTATTTACAAACAACAGTCTGAGGCCATGAAAAGCTGCTTCAACGTGGCTTTTACTGTAATGCAACTACAGTGCAGCTATAAATTTGTTGTATGAGTCAGCAGAGAGGCTGAGCAGCCAGAGGGTTTGGGTTTGGTTTCACCGCCCTCCCCTTCCTCCCCTTTCATTCTGGCACAAGTCTCTCCTGCTGAGGCGACTTTCAGCAGCAGCAGCAACAAATCCAAGCAGCTGCTCCACAATATACTCTCTGCTTTATGACAGCAAATCAAACAACCAATAAAACAATTAAATGACAAAACAAACATTTCTCTGTCAAAATCTATATAACATGTGACGACTTCATCCTGATAAAACAGACGACGTAGTTTTCACCACGATGCTGTTTTTTGGGACCTGAGACAACATAATAACCCGCATGTCTGTAGAAATCTATTAAAACTCGCAACGTTTTGAAATAAAAACCTACATGATCAAAATCACTTCAAAGTCTTCACATCTTAACCGCTTCCTAGTTTAAAGCAGAAACGCTGAGCAGTGAAAAAGGTCATCGACTGTGAGAAGCTAAACGTGTCTGACAGATCAAATCAATGACCTTTAGCCTCTTGCAAGACCTCCATATTTCATTGTCAGACAGAGGGAGTTCTGCCAAGATTCAAAATTCATTTTGTGGTTAGTCAGAAAAGCAGGCTGCAGTGTGCGAGAGTAACTAGAAAGATCATCTTTGATCTTTTTTGAAGCCCAGTTTTTAACTTTAGTCATTGCCGAGGCCTTTGAAAAGTTTAAAGACTTTAATCTTTCAGCAGAATGTAGCTGATCTGTTTATGAAAATGTAGCTCTTTGAAAGATGAATGAAATAGCGGGAGGGGCGGCACGGTGGCGCAGTTGATAGAGCTGCTGCCTCTCAGCAAGAAGGCTGCAGGATTGAAAAAAATCATGACCCAGAAAGGGTCATGTTCTCTCCGTGCGTGCGTGGGTTTTCTCCGGGTACTCCAGTTTCCTCCCACAGATAAAAACATGCATGTTAGACTGATTGGTAACTTTAAATTGTCCCTAGGTGTGAGTGAGAGAGTGAATGGTTGTTTGTCTCTATGTGTCCCGGCGATGGACTGGAGACCAGTCCAGGTATGTTCCCGCTTCTTGCACAGTGACTGCTGGCCATGGGCACCAGTGAACCTCGTGACTGGAAACAGTAAAGTAACAGTAAAGATGATGGATGGATGGATTGATGGATGGATGGATGGATGGATGGAATTCAGATGGAAACCAGAGATATGAACTTGTGTTGTTTTACAAAATTCTTCTCACTTCTCACAAGCTTCCAATTAATGGATAAAAATCACCTTAAAGCAAAAGTTTGTCTGATTTTAAACTCCCCAGTGAAAGAATAAAGCACATTACATTGAGATAAGAAGATTTTTTTTCAGCTGTGTGAGGCTTTCTATATAAAAACTGGAATGTAGGCAGGTTTTATTTGTTTCAAAATGTTTACAACATGAAGTGAAGAAGATGCCTGACAGAAATTAACGTGCTCCAAATTTAAGTGAATGCTTTCTTTTGTTGTTGAATGGAGATGTGCTTTCTTGTCAAATATTATTTTTAACTATCTCAATCATATTGTTTTGAAGTCTGAGATTCAGAAACTGTTTTGAAGAATCAAAATATTAACACAAATCTCAAGACAAACATTTTCATCCATCGAGTTTTTGTAGTTTTTATGGTCCTGATTCTGTTTTTCTGTCAAAAACAGCTGATTGAAGTTCAGATCAAACAGATGAATCATTTATAAACTTTACATATTTATAACTTTTAGACAGTGTTTTGTTTGCGTTAACATTGTAAAATGGATTTTTGTGAATTTGAATACACATAAAACGAGAAGGGAAAAAAAATAAATTTTACGATTACAGCTCACAAATTAAAAATAGTTTCTTTATGTTTTTAAACCTAATAAAATATATTAAATGAACTCCAAAAGCTATAGGCATGGTAAATAGAAACCAGATTACTTATATATCCAAGACAAAAAAAAAAGAAATATTTCTGTAAAGCTATAGACAAAATGTGAGTAACGTATGTTGATATTTCATTTTAGCATTATGGTATTTTATTTCGCAGTACATTTGTTCCAACTGAAAGCCAGAACCATCATCCCTCTCTGACAGTCACAACCTTTAAACTCTTACTCCATCTCCTCTCACTCTGCAAGAGACAGCATGACCTTTGACCTGCCAGTCGGCCATCATAAATGCTTATGGTGTGATTTTTTTTTTAATATACCAGTATGTTTTCTTTTAGAGTGTGCATGTGTGTGTGACCCACCGATCTCACAGTTCTCTCCAGCGTATCCTTGTGGACAGTAGCAGCTGTAGCCAGCTCCCTGAGGAAGGCACTTCCCTCCGTGCAGACATGGGTTTGTCACGCAGGGCTCCACTTCAGCTAAATGAGACATACAGACGTGAGCGATGGGATTAATTAGGGATGTTTATTTCCTCATCAAACGTAGCCAAAGTCAACATATTGATTTTCTTGGCGATTCTCTAAAACCTGAAGATTTGAGCCTAATGTTGTCGGCTTGACTTGGATTTTGAGTTTAACAGAAATCTATGTTTGATTTGAAAAACAAAAACAAAAAACAAAATAAAAATGAATAAATAAAGTCGGCCACACCGATTTTCCATCTGTGCAGGTCAGCCAACCAAAGCCTGCAGTTACAGCACGTGCATATCCGTTTCCCCCTCCGGCTCTTTTCAACAGCATCCAAAGCCAGAGAACTTCAACCCCGCCATCCACTCGTAGCCTTGGTCGCCATGGTTACCACATGGAAAGCAAAGCATCGCTCGCTCCGCCAGGCGTGGTGAGCAGCGTGAGAATTTCAGACGTTAGCTGTCCTCAACAGAAATGAGCAGACCTCCCGCTGAGCGCTTCATTTTCCACCATTCACCCCCTAAATGTCTGCGTGTGTGTGGTCTCCTTCCACAAATGTACATTTACATATCAATTCACCCACCACCACGTGTTTCCTCCCTCCGACCTGCTCATTATTACAACTTGAGGCCTTTGAAAACCGCCGCTCCGTCAGTCCGTGGCCGAGGCTCAGCTGTGGGGGTCTTTGTTCTGCCAGCTCAGACGCTGACACTGAAGGGGGCTCCAAGGGTGGGGTGGTGTCAGCTCGTGAAGGTTTGTTTGTTTGTGTTTACATGAGTAAAAATCAATACCGTGGCTCTGTTCAGTAACTATATTTCAACAGCAACAACATTAGCCCCAATGAAGGTTCAGATTAAGCATTAAAATAACATAGATTGAGGGTTTTCAGTCAAAGAGCGCCGGAACGAGATCTCCAGTAATTCTGAAATTAAATGCTTCATCCTACTCGTCTCTACTCATAGGTTGAACTCGGCTGAAGCCGTGTGCGCATTTCATTTCATTTCATTTGCACTCCTCACATCAGTCAAGGTCGTGGCACATCTTGACAAATATCAGCTGTTCTGACAAGAAGATTTACTGCAGATTTTATGTGATCGTGTTAGATAAACCCGGCGTGGTTGGTCGTTCATTAAAGTGAGTGGTGCAGAAAAATCAATACTGTGTGAAAAGAGCTGACAGTGTGGACGGTCCTCTGCTCTGCACAACACCAAAACAACAAACAAACAAACAGCAATCAGCGGAAAGAAGCAATATACTGTATTATAGGTATGTTGCTGAGACAGTGCAGATACATTTCTCCTGGCACAGAAAATAATGTTTTTTTATGAGTGAACTTCTGGGGCTGCGTTAGCTTGGTGGTCAGTGCTGCAGTTTTGTAAACCTGAAGTTGTGGGTTTGAGCCCAGGTCGCATCAGGAAGGACATCCGGCGTAAAACAAAGTGCCAAATCTTTCATGCGAGTTTCACCGTGGTGAGCCCTGATGAGGGGAGCAGCCGAAAGAAACTTACTATATGAGTGAACAGCTAATAACTAGAAAATCTGCTTTTTCTGTGAAATGCAGGTCAAATTATGAGTGCTGAAAATTGCTGAAGAAGTTGAATCTAAAAGTAGCAGAACACTATCTAAAAGCTAAAAGCAGTAAAATGCTTGTTAAAAGTTAAACTAGAAGATAAAAGTAGCAAAAGGCTATAAAAGCTAGTTGTGCTAAACGCAGCACAACACCAAATAAAAGTGACAAAATGGTAGTGAATACTGTACTAACAGTTGCAAAATGCTAGCTAAAAGCAGCAGAAAGGTAGTTAAAACTAAAAGACAAAAATAGTGTTTTTAGTGTGAACATGCCGAATCAGGATTCACACAGCAAGTTCATGATGTCTGTCAAAAGGAACTGTTTGCCGTATAAAGTTGTGGAAAGAAACTCTGACTGGGAAGATCTGACAATGAAAAGAAATATGAGAATCCACGACTGCTGAAGGAAGGTCCTGCAATGCAACCTTCGGCTTCTCTCTTTCTTTTCATTCTCAATGGTTGAGCTGAAAGATGAAGTGCTCTCTGATCCAGTCAGGTGAGGAAATATTAACCACCACCACCATCAAGAACCTCCAGCAAAAAGAGACTGAACTGGATTTGGACTTTTGTATATAAAATAGAAATAAAAGCAGAAAATCTGTTTATCCAGTCTAATTCAGCTCAGCTGGTCGTGGAGCAAATATGTCATTGGGGTTTGTGTGTTCTTAGCCCCTCAGCCCGCACGGCTCCAGGGTCTCTCAGTCAATCAATCAACCCTCATGCTCGGCAGCAGCGTCCCAGATGGTCGCCCTTGGCTCCTCGTCGATACAGTTTACAGCTGTTCCCCGTCTACAGCAGACTCCCCTCTCTCAGTCACAAACATGAACTGCTTTCAGAGGCGACAAAAAACAAACCAGCACGGAAACGTACGATAAGCACAATACCCATGGGGCTTTTAGACACTTGGTGAAAGGATGTTTCCTGTGCTTGCTCTCATTATCAAGCACGAAACGAGTAGTAAAGCAGGTGGCCAGCCCGGCTCTTTGCTGAGACGTAGGGCGCTGCAGATTTAATCATCAGACTGTGGACGGTGGTGGGGATGGGATGTTGGCTCACTGTGTGAATAAAAACTATGTACCTGAGTGGAAAAAAATACTGAATAGTTTGAATAAATCATCCAAGGGCAAGGTTAAAGAAAATGAGAAAGCTGTCTTAAAGGATAATTCCCTCTTTTTCATCATTTTGCAGCACAGCATCATGGCAAATCCTGATAAGGACTGAAACAACTGTCTTTTTTAAAAAAGAAGCAGATCAACGCAAACCATGCATCTTCTTCTTCCATGTCCTGACTTTTAAAAGCAACACATTTATGGAAGTTATTGTGTATACACTGAACAAATTTTATGGTTTTTGCAGATTGGGGACAAGCTAAATTATTAAATTTACCACATGAAGATTGTGAAAAGGATCTTCTTTTTTTTGGCTAACCAAATTAGTATAAAACTACTGTAACTACTCAGTTCAGTCTTAGGTCTAAAGATAGCCATCTTTCAAACCTTTAAGTATCAACAAAATGCACGTCAAAATAAAACCTGAATTTTAGATTTTCTTTTCAGACTTTAAAGGTGGTGAATTTGACCAGACAAAGACTTCTTGGATTAAATCAGCTGGTTTTTGTCCTGCTTTAACCTACGAAAATAAAAGTATTTGCAGTTGTTGTAGCATTATCATCTTAACAGCAGGGTAAATAGTGACCAATTTATAATATAATTTATACAAATACTGTATTTTCCAGCGTATAAGTCTCATCAGTCAAAAAAAACAAAGCATCAAGAAGAGGGAAAAAAACATATATAAGTCGCTTTGGCGTATTAGTCGTGTTTATTTTGTGTCACCGCTGACCTCTGGGAAACGTGGGCCGATATTTGGCATGACACCGGCATGGGCGGTGGAGGAACGCTGGAGCTGCAAGCTCTCCAGCGTTCCTCCGCCTGCATCTAAAACAATTATTTGTTTGTTTGACACTATAGCAAAGGTGTGTCTCAGTTTAACTTTTCCTTAATAATTGCACCTTAATGGCCAATGTTTGGTGGTGGTGGTGGGGGGGGGGGGGGGGGTAGTGGTACAGGAACAACATGTATGCCTACCGGTAGTTTTCAAAAGCCTAGAGGGCCCTCTCACCCCTCTAGCAGCTGCACATGTTAATGTTTACTCTGGTTCATGTCAGTATGACTGAATATTTAAAGCGTCAGTCAAAATTTGCGTTAAGAACATGGAAAAAAAATGTAGATAAGTTGTTTCGGTGTACAAGTCGCAGGACTGGCAATCTATGCAAAAAACTGTGACTTAAATGCCAGAAAATACTGTAATTATAATTTTTATTTCCCTATAACGGAATAGGCGAAATAAACTAAATAATATGGATTATTAAAATTGCAGACTTTTGTTAAAAATACAAAAAGAAATAACCTTTTGTGATGATCTGCATTTCTTTAAAAATAAAATACTAAAAACAAAAAACAAAACATGTTTTGCTCAGATGCAGTCATAAAACATTAATTTAAGCTATACTGTATCGTTTTTCTTTTTCACAATGTGACACTGCTTCTTTAGGGTTTTAACAAAATGTCTCTAACTTGCTTTTATTCAAATGAACAAGATGTTAGTCTAAAAGTACACTTACATTTTTTTTCTTTTGAGCTATATTTTATTTCAGCTGGTTTCATGGAGCTCATTGAGATGCTGTTTTCCGAGGATGGTTGCATACAAATAAGTTACACCCAGTAACTCTTGAGGAAAGCCTGTTGCGTCGCCTGACAATCTGCAAAGCAGGACACTGTTCCTGTTTGCACACTTCACTGCAGATCAGCACTCGTGAAATTATTTAATCACATTTATTCTCAAATGTTAACATTTTATTCATCTGACCTTCAGCCATGTGTTGTTAGTAACAATCTATTTTTCAGACTCATTGTGATCACACATTTAACCAGCTTGGGTTATTAAAACGCCAGAAAGCAGATAAAAACGCTGAGTAATGCAAGAGCCCCCTTGCAAGAGGCTGTCCCCTCTGAATGGTTGGAAAAACATTTGAACTAAAGTCATATTTCTCCTCTCACTGATTGGATTTATTTCTACTGCAGCTTTAACGACCTTTAACATCTACCGTTTGCCTTCTAACCACTTAATGTGCAGATATTGTAAGAGCAACATTCAGAAAAATGCATGCTTAACACCAGGAAGCAATTTAACAAGAATGCTCAAACCACCTTATTTGGACAGAAAATGCAGTAGTTTAAAAACAGAAAATATAAAGAACAAAATTATGTAAAGGGTAAAATGACCCGACGTTATCTCAGTTACCTTATTGAGCCATGAGCCATCTGTTAAAAAACATGATCACTTGCTTTCCAGAAACACCAACTATTTTCTGCTGAGAGTACGCTCCCTGATTCATTATGGTTTCTTAAATCAAAAGGCAACAACGTCACAGAAAATATACTCTCAAACACAAAGACTTGTTTAAACAACAATAATGATGCTCACCTGTTGGACTGAGAGGTGTGGTGCTGATGTTGGCTCCTCCTCTGTTGCTCTCCTCCTCCATGTTGCCAGGTAAGAGGGCCCCCGAACCCACAACAGGAGACCAGGCAGCCTCCTCGTCATCTTGGGGTGCCGGCAGCGACAGGGGCTCTTCTAGAGAGGCGTTAACGGACAATCCTTCCTCTGGGACCATTTGAAGAGTGATAAGGTCATCTGTAGAGTTACTGGTCTCTGTGTGAGGAGACGTAGCTGGCTGAACGGTGTGAGCCTGGGATGTGGGCTGGGAAGGGGACAGGGATGGAGAGGGGGAGTAGGATGGGGTCGGGGAATAGAATGAGGTGGAGGAAACGTCTGTAAGGGAGGAGGAAGAAATGAGATCAGATGGTGATGGCTGGAGAGAGTGAGATTCATGAAGGGATTCTGACTGTGTGGATTCAAAAGGAGTTGAAGAGGGTGAGGTGAACGTCGAAGTAGACCATGAGGTGGACGGTGAGGTTGTTGGTAACGGCGATGGAGAAGGGGGCATTGTTTGTTCTTGTTCTTGTGAGACTGACAGGGATGAGTTTTCCGATTCTGATATGATGGTCTGGTGTTGGGATGTGGAATTGTCCCTTTCTGGCTCAGTTGTGGTCATTGCTGTGGCTTCAAGAGGGCTGCTGGTGACAGTGGTGGCTGTGGTGGTGGTCTTGGAGGATTGTCCTTTTCTGTGACCCCTCTCTCTGTTTCGTTCTCTAGACCTTTCTCTTGACCCTACTAGTCGACGGGAGACTTGGATCTCGCCTTTCGCTTCTGCACCAGTGATTTCTCCACTTCCTTCTTCTTCTCCTTTCCCTCTCTCCTCCCCTCTGTTCCTGTCCTCCCCTTTGTTCTTCCTCCCCCTTCCTCTTCCTCCTCTGCCACCGGCTCTGGAGGTCACAGTTTCCTGCCTCTTACCAGCTGCTTGGGTTGTTGTGTCTATTTCCACTGTGATCCACGTTTCTTTCTCAGTGGAGGTGATGTCAGGTGAGTGGCTGGAGGGAGTGAACGTGGGAGTCTCGGAGTTCTCTGAGATCTTGATGCTCTCTGTTGTCGGAGAACTCGTGGACGATGCTAAAGTCGATGCCAGATGAGTGGATGAATCTTCATTGGCTGCTGTGGTTTTCTCCACAGGCTGGCTGATGAACCATGAACTTCCCCAGGAAAACAGACCTTTATAGGGCACAAAACAAGCACTCATGGCAATGAGTCCAAAAATCAGAGCAATGACTCAAAAATAATGAAAATGATCGGATAGATTTGCTCCACTTTGCCAAAGACCAGAAAACAAACGCATGTAATCTGTTCTATTTCCATCAGCTGCTCTTTGTACTGTAGCAGCACTGAACACATCTATCAAAACTGGGATTTTGTGAAGAAAAACATCCAGTGGCAACAAGATTTCAATAGCACCGAAGATTTGCTTCCACTTTATAGCGAGCCTTTGGATCACTTAGATCAGGACTACTGAACAAAACTGCGCAGGGGGCCACAGTTTCTGAAAGCCAACGGCTCGGGGGCTGGACATCCAGCAATTAAAATCATTATATAAATACACCAAAGTTTATATGTTGCCTTTTAAATTTGTTTATTTTATTACATTGAATCATAAATGCAATAAACAGAACCCAAAACCCAAACCCAGACACCCCCCCCCCCCCCCCACCTTCTTATTATTTTTTAATGAAGTGGGCAGGATTGAAGTCACCGGGCGCCAGTTGAATAGCCCTGAGTTTTTAGATCAATATCAACACAGAGTGCTATAAAAACAAACAACAAAAAACTTATCATGTTTAAAGATATTATTAACGGTTTGGGGTTTTTTGGAAAAATGTGTTCTGAAGTTGATATAAGTAGTAAATATCTTACCAGCAGTAGACACTGCTCAGATCATTCTCAGTTTGTATAGCAAGCAGACATTTTCCCTGAGAAATTGATAAATAGCACTTCCTAAAATTAAGTGCCTCATTAAGACATTAAAAGTTTGTAAACACTGTATATAACATTAAAAAACATTTATAAAACTATTATAAAATACTGTTCATACACTGGAGCAGGATCACTGAGTAAGTGCTGGACTTTCATGCATTTAAAGAAACTTATAGTTGCAGCTTACTTTTTGAACTAAATGACTTTTTTTTTTTTTTTTTGCTAAAACAAATTTTGAGCGTTTACATGTAGGTAGCTTACTGACAATAAGAGTACACAATTTTATTCCACCTCATGTAACACATGTGACGCGGATGACAATAAAGCCTCCTTGAACCTTGAACTTTGACAGATGTTTTGACTTTTCAAATCAGAGTTATGAGGAACGTGCAGCGCTCAATCTTGCCAAATAGTGGGCCTACTAATACTAATGTATGAACAATGTTATATAACTGTTTTATAAATGATTGTTAATGCTCTATTAAGTGTTCACAAACTCATGAATGAGTTGAACCCATTTATAACACGTTCTTTTTTATTAGAAAGAGGCACAGTTTATTAGCACATTATTTAATTGCTTTATTATTTTAATTGTTTGACACTGCCTTATTTTTCTATGAAACAGTTACTTTTCCCGGTTACATTTATTTATTTTATCAAGCGTTTCACATGAACCCAGACTGATAATGGACTACGTCCACTCGGTCTTCAGTATGAGTAATTATTTAATGCAGCAATGACACCTAAAGATTCAGAAAATACAGTTTGCATGAAATCGACAGTAAAAATTTGCTTTGGTCTTGAGCCTGTTCAAACTAGTTGTTAGCTCATCTCCTTCTCAAATAACTTATGAGTGAAATACAAACTAATGATTTTCCAAACAATTTCCAGTGCAGGTAAGATACTGATTACTGCAAACAATGCCATAGAACACTACTTCAAAAAGTCTGAACTATCCCTTTATGATAACATTCATGAGACTGAGTGCATCTTCACATTATTACACATGAGGGACTGGTTTCTGACTGAAAATGTCAAACAGCCAAATGACACCAACATGGAGGTGAAAGGGAAACAAATATAGTCATGTCAAGGATATAGTATAGTTATCAACAAAAGTTGAATTAAATTACAAATTTAAACAGTTACATTTCTTATCAAGTTTCTTATATTATGACTGTTTTGTATTTTAACATCAGAAAATCCTACTCTACAATTATGCAGTCCTTTTCAGCAATGCAAACTCTTTCTCACCATCTTTTAACATTAAACAATAATTAAAGCATCAGTTTGAAACCTGCAATTTTCCTCCATGGGTAAAATAAATAGTCAAAGCTCAAGGTGACAGTGTATATTAAAAGTAGAGAAAGACACCTTGTGGTAAACATTTTAAAAATAAGATTAAAAACCTCAGTGAAGGCAGATGCAAACAACTCAGTGCTGGAGTCAGAAGCTCAAAAAGCACCGCAGCCACATAAATTGCCTCAGAATTAAATCAGCATCTTCGTAACACAGTTTCAACAAACACTCAACCCACTGTTTGAAAACCACTTCCACTCACTGCCAACACATAACGCTCTGCAAACCCGTCAGACCCCCTGAAACAAAAGAAATAGGAAAAGAGTGCGGACGAGATCGATTTCACTGTTTTGTAATTCATGGATTCGTATTTGATGGAAACAATTTTTTCTACGGAAATTCTCCAAGCATGTTGCTCAGAGTTAGAGACACAGGCTGCGCTTTCAAATGCAACGAGTACAGCCAAAACATTTTTTAATAAAAATTATAAAATCTTTCCCAGGCTTTTATTTACTTCTTTTTTTTTTCAGTCAAAGGCCTTCAGTTGCGCTCTGAAGGACGGACGATGATGAATCAGAAAATCTTAGAGCTCAAAGAGTATTGATGTGGTTTTAAAGTTTCCTTTCAGTGTCAATTATCAGTCTCAGAAAAGATCTTTAGTAAATCACTATTGCCCACCACCAAAGATGAAAGGGTGACAAAGTTTATGACCATGTTAGTATGTCTTTGTTTGTCTAGAGCAGGGGTCTGCAACCTTTACGATCAAAAGAGCCGCTTTTACGCCATTATTCACTAAATTAAAAATGTTCAGAGCCGCAACAACATGCTACAACTGTGATTATCAACTGGTGGCCCATGGGCCACTTTAGTTTGTTGGAGGGGGCTTTTGTGGCCACCATACAGCTAAAAATGTTTAATCAGTATTTCCCCTAGATAACCTTCCATGGTGGGGCGCTCATCTCGTCTGTGATTTTTGTCAACAGTGGCCGGAGGCCGGGGGGGGGGAGACACATCTGACCTCTGAGCTGTTTGTACCAACAGTTTTTGAGTGGGGGGTGGGGTTTCTGCATGAGGGTTTAGCGTGAAGGAAGAGGTAGCATGAGTGCAGCCTGTGTTTTGTTAGCTAGCTTGCATGTATTGCACACCACTAGCTTTGTGCTACATCACTGATGACGTGGGGAGGGGGGTGGGGGGCACATTTCAGTTTGGTAGGTGGGACACTGAGTTCTGTTGACAGGGCAGGTTGCCCTGCTTGTATAATGGTAAGGGAAACACTTTAATTATCTTTAACATTATTAATATTTTTACAATTTAAGGCAAGCGAAAGGACCAGATTCTTGTGTGTGTGTGTGTGTTGGGGGGGGGGGGGGTAGTTTATTTAAGCATAAAAACTGAACTATGCAGAACTATGACATTTTTTAACTGTGGAAAAAATGATTAAGTATAGAAATAAAACATAAAGTTAAAGTTCGTATGTTTTACTCCTTGTACTTGTTCTAGTATTCACATATTTGCAAAAGAAATGACAGGAAAACTGTTAAGACTAGTCCTTTTTTGTTGTTGCCATAACAACCAATAAAATGCAATTTTATGTTAGTTTTGGTCAAAGCCTGAAAGAGCCGCTGCAGAGGAACCAAAGAGCCGCATGTGGCTCCAGAGCCGCAGGTTGCAGACCCCTGGTCTAGAGCAAAACCGACTTCAATGAAATGCCACAGCCAACTGATCTTAGGAAACACATTAATGGAGATAACTCAGTCAATTTTACACACATTGAGGTAAAATTCAGTGTGGTAGTAACTGAGAGTCATTTACAGCTCATATCCTGAGCACTAGCAGATCACGCAAAATCCCAGTGGGGGCAAATGAATCGGCAGCATTTGATAAAAACAGCAACAGCTCCATGATTTCTCAACTTGAGATGATCTTAAACTAAGACTCTGGCATGACAGGCGGCAGGAGATAAGCCTTTCTTCAGAGAATGCTGCCTTTCGCTAAAATCTAAACTTGACTTTGAAGCCTCCTTTCTAATATAAAATTGATGACTCATCATTTGGACGATTGTTCTTTGCAATTAGCCTGAAGAATACTCATAGCGTGAAATCTGTGCCTTATCTTTTTCCATTTATAAAGATTAAGGACAAAGAAACCAACTGAAGGAGCTCTGCTGCGAGCTTACAGCCAGCTGTTCCACCTGCTATCAATCACAGCTCGTTAGTCTCAACAGGAGCGGCAGGCTGAGCAGCAGAGAAAGGTCAGCGTGACTTCAGCTTGTCTCCAGATTTCAAGCTTGCAGCAGGTTTTTACTCTATTAATTTTACAGCTTTCTAAGGATTTACGAGCGCCGCTTTAAATGTTCGAAATAATCAAAGCATCTTATTGAGCCTCCCATGCACAAAAGCACACTGCACAGCATTACTGTGGCTCAAATACACATTACATGAGAAACTCATGCCTCGTTTTTTGAAACATCATGGGGGCTATTCTGCAAAAAAACATTTGGGCTCCTTCTCTAACCTTTCACGTCTTTATCCCTTAGGTGCGTTTAAGAACTGAGACATCCTTTAGAGCAAGATCCGTTTTAAACATGCAGCCAGGAGAATGGCAGAGAGAGGATGTGGAGGCACAAATTAGAAAATGAGACAAACCTCATTTGCTTTTTTCATTCTGCACGTTACATGATACAGTCATTGTTGCAAAGTAAAAAAAAAAAAAAAACTTTCTACATTATGTGCAGTCAATTCAAATTAAATGTATCTACCTGGTGATACAGGGCTGGAGGGATGTGATTCTTCTCCAGTTTCTTTTGTTGCAGTCTCCTCTTTTTCCGCGTGCTCATTTGGTGCTTGGGTTCCCTCCTCATCTCCTGTCCCCACCAGGTAGTTCCAAGGCTTCCAGATGGATTTCACAATCTTTGAGATCACCTAACGTAAAGAGCAAACCGTTAGCACCCAACAGCTTCAGATATAACATAAAACGTCAGTGTTGAGTCTTTAAGCTAACCTTTTTCTCAGCTGGAGTCGGGTGAGCTGGAGGTCTGAGAAACTCCTCCGAGTCGGGCCCGGGCTCCTGCAGATCCCCCCAGTCGAAGGAGTTCTGACCTGGGATCAGCTGTAGGGTAATGAATGACGCTGACGACTCCGAGGACCAGGGGTCTGTGGCTTTAGATGGTTATAACAATCAGCAACAGTTTGGAAAACTTTTCACGTTTCTGTCTAAGACTTACAGAAGCTGTGAGGGGACTCTTCTTCTTCCAGCTCAACCGTTCCTGTCCAGTTGGAAGTTGACACTTCGACATCTTCTGAGGATGCTGCAACAAACGTCAGACGTGCAATCAATACTAACTTGTTTCCACAGTGGCTGATGTGTTTTCCACTTGACAAACTGGTTTAAGACAACATATCTGAGCTGGTTATAGATGGATGTAAAACCTGTGAGCGTGGTGGTTTGCTGTGTAGTCAGATTGGAGCTGTCGGTCGCTGCAGACTCAGCATCACTCGAGCCTGTGAGATAGCTCCAGGGCTTCCACTGGGAGGTGTAAATCTCAGAGCCTGTATCCTTCACTTTACCTAAGAAATGAAATAAAGACATGTTTGCCCACTTGAATCCCTGAAATCCCTGTCTAAAAGCTTTTAAATTGTTTGCGAACGACAGATTGCTGTAGTGACAACTGAAAATCTTGATATTTAACATTTCCTGTCTTTGTTCTCTCTCTCTCTTGCCTTCTCTCAAGGCGTCTGTCAGTCCAGCAGGTTCTTGGATACATGATTAGAAATGAGTGTTGCCATAGCTACAACAGCAGCAAAGACTTTTATTGTGAAAGTTACTGCATTAACAGCCGACAAAGCTTCGGTTACAATGGAGATGGAAGATTCAACCATGTGTTCTCCTTTCTTCTTAGTTTTTTTTCTCTGTTGCTTTGAAAGAATATCACAACATCCATAATTATAGCCAGTAGTTGTTCTGCTATGGTATGATACCTCTGTAGCAGTAAGCGTCGTATAAAGCTGTCGAGTTGTCAGCAGTGGTGTTGGGCGTGACGGTGTGGACTCCCGGCTGGCTCCCTCCACATTCTGGACGAGGCCAGGCCACCGGGTAGTGAATGCTGCCGTCAGACAGCCATCCCGGGGCGCAGCTGTCTAGGCCGGCCCTCCACGCCAGATAAAGCTGTCCCACGGTAGCCAGCTGGCCCCCAAGGGACACGCAGCGATCGGAGGCTGAAGACAGTGACAGTCTGCCTGGAACCGAGGAGTGAAACACCTCACCTAAAGGACAAAAAGTCAGAGAGAGGATCATCTACACAGAAGATTCCACAGTGCAGGAGTGTCAAACTCACTTACAAAACGGGGCCAAAATTAAAACCTTTTGCAAACTAAGGTCTGGTTTCAGAAGTTACATTAGCTCAAGTCAGATACCCAACATCTTTTCTTGGTTGAAGGTTCCTCAACAAGAGTTTGATTGGTCTAATTTGACATTCTCTGTTACACTTTTGACATTATAATCAAAGATTACTGAAAAAAATGTACGTGAAAAAAGTATTTTACATTTAAAACAACATCTTAGGGGCCAGATAAGATGTCAACGAGGTGGCCCCCAGGCCTTGAGTTTGACGCATATGTTGTAGACACATCGATTCAGTACATACACACTTGGATTCTGAAGGTAACACATGTGCGCTGCTAGCAGCTGGTTTATACTTCTGTTGCTTCAATGTCATGTCTGTGGCACTCATTTTCAAGGTAAAAGTTTTTAATAGCTTTATCAAAAACAAAAATGCCTTGAAGTACTCAATATGTTCATCCAGATCTTTAGATTTTAGTTTTACACAACTAAATGTTCTAATAATTGTGTGTGTTTACATATATTAGTAGATTTATTTGACTTAGTAGTAATAAACAACACTTCCTACTTGTCTAATTTAATTTAATTTAATTTATATTTATGCTGCAACTTGACAGATCCACCCGGATTTCATTGTAAAACTTTCAATTAAAAAAATAACCTATTTTATTTCAACTGTAGTTTTTTTGCTAAAATGTTTAAAACTGTGTAACAAGGATTTTTGTTGTTTTTGCATCAGGTAAAATAAAACACTATGAGACTACTTGTCAGTGAGTCTGAGATTAAATTGAGACATGTTGCAGTTTCAATGCCATGTAACGAACTAGAGGTTTTTATTCATTTATTATTTTTTCAACAGCTTTTTAACAACAATGGAGCTGTGAGACATGTAGGAATATCACTTTGTGGTGCCACAAAAAAATAAAAATAAATCTGTTCAGCCTGAGTCATTGCGGGTCGGTTATTTTTACTGGGTATATTTAGAGTAGGAGAAAAAAGGTTAAAAAATATATATTTTTAATCCCCATTCTTGTTCTTTAATGTTGCAGTAGAACATGATGCAAGTATGAGTATAAAAGCCAGCAGCAGTGACACTGATGTGTTTTATGTTTGTGCAAGTGTGTGTGCGTGCGTACCATCCAGTTCTTTGGCAAAACAGTACACATCAAACATCTCTTTTGGGTCCCTCTTCCCATAATTTCTCACTCCAGCTGAGTACTCCTTGTGTCCATGGCAACCGAGCTCTGGCGACTGGACCGAATAACTGTGGACAGAAACATGTGGAAGACAGAACAGAGCGTTAGCTTCTGTAGAACTATTTATGAACAGCATTAACAGCTTGTGAACAGTTTTATGTGTTTTTATTAGAATTTTAAATTTCAACAAATAAAATGATATGCTCTCACTTTAAAAGTACACAGACTTTAAATAATTGAAGAAACAAGAGCGCTAATAGAAGCACATTCCCCAAGTGTATGAAGGGACAAAAAAGACTGGGAAGAAACAGGTCAAGCACTAAAAATGTCTTCTATGTAGGAAATTAGTGGGCTTATTTAAAGAAAGCAGTTTCCAGAGAAGAATCAGCTGTGATTTCTAATTGGAGCAGAAAACCTTCAAGAAAACTGAGTAAACCTTCTTACTATCACACTATAAAACCAAACACTTTCCTGACGGGGCTTTACAGCTTCACAGACTGAGCGAGAGACTCAAGCAATTCACACCTTCACGCATTCTCGTGCCACATTTCCATTTTCTTTTGCAGTGAAAAACAAATTTGTAGCTAATCTCACTGCAGCGTACAAACAGAAAACCTAATCCCAGGACTCCCCGCAGACAGAACTGGGCTCAGCAACAACAAGCTTTCACACCAACGTGGAGGAAAAGGAAATATATTAGTGATAAATGATGGGTTCATGCATTCAGTGTCTGGCACCAGAGATGCTCCAGGATTAGTATCATACCTTCAGAAACCTGTTTTAATTTGCAGTTTTTGTGAAGGAACATTTAAAGCGCTGTTCTGTTTACAGAGAGACTGATTCATGAGTGGTATTGGTTTTGTCTAACTCGTGGTTGAAACTAAAACAACCAGTGATCTCCAACGTTTGATTGATTTATAGATATTCAGAAATGAGTGATTTATTTTCACCTGCTTTAACACTTTGAAAGTGTTTCTAGAGGTGAAGATGAAAATACCTTTAGACACAAACTAATGAACCTGAAACCAATGAAAACAACTATCAAAATATATCTTCAGGTGCTCAACCAGAAACCGATGGAATGTCCCCTCCAGGTTGGGTGGGAGTCTTCAAGAATCTGGGCGTCTTGCTCATGAGTGATGGTAGGATGGAGCAAGAGATGGATCAAAAAACTGGGGCCTCGTCCTCTGTAATGAGGGTGTTGCTTCGGTCGATAGTGGTGAAGAAAGAGTGGAGTCAAAAAGCAAAGCTCTCATCTCACTGGTCTGTCTGCGTTCCAACCCTCACCTATGGTCATGAGGTTTGGATCATGACCGAAAGAATGAGACCCTGGAGGCAAACGGCCGAAATGAGCTTCCTTTGTAGGGTGGCTGGCTGGGCTCAGCCTTAGAAACAGGATGAGGAGCTCTCTCATTTGGGGGGAGCTTGAAGTAAAGCCACTGCTCCTCCACATCAAAATGAATCAATTGAGGTGGTTCGGGCATCTGATTAGGATGTCTCCCGAACGCCTCCTTTTAGAAGTTTTCTGGGCATGTCCCACTGGTAAAAGCCTTCTGGGGCAGACCCTAAACTCGCTGGAGGGATGGTGTAGCTTCGCTGGCCTGGAAACGCCTCAGGGTCCACCAGGAGGAGCTGGAAAGTGTCACTGGGGAGAGGGATGTCTGGGTTTCTTTCCTGGACTTGTTGCCTCCACGACCCAACTACAGATAAGAGGTAGAAGATGGAGATGGGGAGAGAAAGTACAGCTATATGTATGCATCGTGTACTATTATTTCACTATATTACAAAATGTTCTGTATTATGATGGCTCATTTAATTATAGGTCACTGTGAAGTGAACATCATGTCAGTATGACAACCATTGTTCTGTGATTGTCTGTGTAGGTTGGAGACTGTTGAGAGTTCAACAAAAATGTTTATCAGCCTCCCCGTGACTGTTTCCTTCTTGACTGTGGGTCTGTTCTCTCTGGGGTGGGGGTGGGGGGTGGGGGGGCTTCCTATAAAGCAACAGATGTAACTCGGTAAGGAAGAGGCAGTTCAGAATTAATGCCAGCAGAGCGGGCAGACTAAAACTTTGTGATGCTTTGACTTTCTGTAAAAATGTCCCCTCATTTGCTGGTAAATGAAAGTTTAAATGAGCAATCAATCAATATCTTTTTTCACCACATCTGTTCGCAAAAATGTATATTTTGGTACCAATAGCCTCCTGTTTTTTGTTGTTGTTGTTTGGTCTGAACACATCAATTAGGTTCACATAAGGTATAAATCTTGCAGGTACAAATCAAAAACTTACTTTATTAATATGATTACACAAGCCTGTGTGGGATAAAGCAGGGATATGTTGAATTAAAGAATTGTCTTTTTCCACTGACGGCACCAATAATCTCATAACATCAAGTTAAAACAATCAATCAGTGTCTCGGATTTCAAATGAATCTTTCATGTGAGAGGTATCTGCTCTCACATGATTCTGATTACTAGACCAATTTGCAAAATCTCATTTGATTATAGTGCTTAATTCAAAGAAATCACAAAAAAATAGATTCTTTTCATTCAGTGTAAATATGGTGTATCTAAAAAATTATAATATCGTGAATAAGTTCAATTGTGTGTGAACCATTTCAGAAAGTGAAGCTCATATTTTACATAGATTCATTACATAAAGAGTGAAATATTTCAAGCCTTTGTTTCTTGTAATTTTGATGAATGTGTCTTACAGATAAGGAAAAAACAAAATTCTGTGTCTCAGAAAATTACAATATTGTGAAGAGGTTCAGTATTGTAAACCCCTGGTGTCACACCCTGATCAGCTGATTAGCTCCTAGACATGAGCTAAATGTCTCATTTCTCAAGTCCAGCCACTCCTGAACCAGATATGTCAGAAGTGTCTTACCTGGCTGAGATGACCAAAAACTGGCCTGTTGCTCAGTGGTCCAATGTCCTTTTTTCAGATCCAGTACGTCATTTGGAATCAGGGAGGAAGAGTAGGAAGGTCCAGAATCCATGTTGCTTGAAGTCCAGAGTGAAGTTTCTACAGTCAGTGATGGTTTGGTGCCATGTCCTCTGCTGGTGTTGGTCTACTGTGTTTTCTGAATTCCAGTCAACGCAACTTATAGCAGGACATTTTAGAGACGTCATGCTTCCTTCTGCTGACGAGCTTTATGGAGATGCTGATTTCATTTTCCAGCAGGACTCGGCTCCTGCCTATACTGACAAAAGTACCAAAAGCTGGCTGTGGAATATTCTGATTTTATGAGACACTGAGTTTTGGTTTTTCTTTATTTGTCAGCAGTAATCATCACAATTACAAGAAATAAAGGCTTGAAATATTTCACTTTATGTGTAATGAATCTATTTAAAATGTGAGTTTCACTTTCTGAAATGACTGATAAAAAAAAAAAAAAACTTTTTCACAATATTCTAATATTTTGGGATGCACCTGTAGGTGTACTCATTTGTTGTGGTCCAAATAACTCAATGATTGTGTGACATAAAGAAATAAAGAGCTAATGGAGTCCTCACCGGACAGTCTGATCATCCAACCATCCAGCTGAACAGCTGGAAAACCCATCGTAGTACGCTGCCCACAGCTGGGCCGGCGACGCAATCTGAGCTGAGTTTTCTTCGCAGGCTCGCTGGGCATCGGTGAACGTGAGGGCATAACGAACATCAGGTACCTGGTAGTTAAACACAACCCCTACGCACAAAGACAAGTTATTCAAAATAGTAAAAACTATTGAATTAAACTTTTTTCTTCTTTTTTTTATTCTGGTGAAATTCCCCAGGAATGCATGCATAAAAATGATCACAGTCGGCCCTAACACATCAATTAAAATAATTACACAAGTATTTAAGTATAAAACAAGGAAATGAAAACAGCACTCGCACAAAGACGCATCAATTGAACCAGTCAGTATGATGTTTATGCAATAATGTTTAATTAAGCAAAGCTAAAAGGGGGTTGGCTGTGCTTTAAAAGCTACATTAGCAGCTGTATATTAACACATCAAAACAGCACTGGAAAAATTAAATTAAATAAAATGAATTCATTAACTAAGAAGATTTTTTTTTTTTTTTTTTTACATCCTCTGAAGTAAATGTTTAATAGTTTAATAGTTTTGTCTCATTAGAGGCTGCTGTGCTCACCAGAGACCACCAGAGGCACGGTGTCTCTCTCCTGGTGGTTGCCCATGACGACCTGACAGTGGTAAGTGCCCGAGTCCTCGGTGCGGAGACCAGAGATCTCCATGGTAGCATCGAGAGGGTTGGCAGAGTATCCTGGCAGCATGATGCGGCCGCTGAAGGCCTTATTCACCTTGATTACATCACCTTTGGCACAGACAGAGAGCTTTCTTCACTACAAATGTGTGCAGGCTTCAGAAGCAGCTCGTAAACTTTATCAGAGTCTAATAAAACAAACAAAAACAAAATACCAGCTCTGTTTCTTTTTATCAGTGATTTATTTCCATAATAAATTGTGGAAATAAATAAATTGGCTTTTAGTCAATCTGAAAGATATTTTTACTTTTCTTAGTGGCTGAAGTAAAATACAAATGTTGCTTTGACTCTGATTAATAATCCCAGTGCAGGGCAGTGATGATCAGAAACATGTTGGGCTAACTGGGATGTCTAAATTGACCTTTGTCCAGGATGTAATCCTCCCCATCATTTGATGAAAGCTTTAATAGGCACCAAACGTCCCCTCACCACATTTATTTATCACAAATATTTACAGTAATATCAGTCCTGCTTTTAGATTGAACTTTCCTCTACTTCTTCACCTCTACACAAGGTGGCCAATTATGAATGAGCCTGGCTGTATGCTTGTCTGTTTGTTTGTGCATCTGTTAGCAAAATATCTCATGAACCACTAATTTAATTTTAATGAAAGTCTCTTAAAGTGATTATTAGATGTGTATTTACAACTGATTAATTTTTGGAGACAACCCATTTTAAGATGGCCAGCACAGCCAGTTAACTTTACCAAACATAAAAATAGGTATAAATCAGTCAGTTTTATAGATATTGGGATAAACTTTGGTTTGGTAGTAGCTGAGAGTTGTCCCCATCCCATCTTTTTTTTTTTACTTGGCATGAAAGACAAGATGCTTTATAATTTATAAAGAAAATGTTGCTCTTTGACAGTGAATTGCTTCATGTTGTCCAATATTTCCTCTTGTGGCTCTTCAGAGCTTTGAAAAGCAAACATCTGTAAACAATGTTGATGGAAGCTGCGAGACTGAACCAAACCTGTAAAGTTTTACAGATGTGGTGACTTTATTAACCTGCCTTTTACTCACTCAGGCGAGTTCAGGTCAACAATGACGCTTGTGATAAAGTGCAAAACTTGAATTGATTATTATTTCAGCCTTAAGTTGACCGTCTGAGTAATTTTGAAATAAATTTATTTATAAAGTACATTTAAAACCACACAAGCTGAATCAAATCAATCAATTAATCAACCTAAAAATGTAAATGTCTCAAGTTGGTATGAAAAATGAAAAATTAACATTTTTATTTTACCTTTAGCAGAAAGTACAATCTGCTCCAAAGGAGGCCCTTGGCCTCCTGCTGACAGTCTGCTGTGAGTCCACAGGAGGTGTGGAGGCTGGACGGAGGAGCTGGTCTGGAGGGTGAAGACACAGGGGAGGACAGCTTTGCCTGCAAGCATCTGTTGGACTGTAGGATGGGTGATCCTACGCATGTTCACCAAGGAGGAGGCTGCAGCGAAAGAGGACAGCACATAACTGGTGTTACAGATTTTTTTTTTAAATCATTAAAATTTCTACTTAAATAATTTAAACCAAAATAATGAGATTTAAACATAAAGCTAGAAAATTCATAATATCAATGCCTAAAATGTATGACGACAATGACAAAAACGTCTCTTTACTTTATGCTTAAAATTTAAATTTATTTAGTGATTTCTTGAAAAGCACATTAAAGTGTTTGATGAGAAACAATTAAGAGTTGAATAAAGCGTCTGTTACAGTGATACAAAACCAGATTAAACAGAAGGTGCACAAGGTCCATCACCTGTAATTATAATGTCAGCTCAGCTGAGACAATGAAACGTTTTATTTGCTGTGTGTTTATTATATTTCAGTCACTTCTGTTAGCAATACCTGTAAGTGTTGGTGAATCCACTTCACACTCAAAACAACGTCAACTAAACAAGCAGTATGCCAATGTCCCCCGTCACTGAGAGATTTGAAGAGTGAAAGTTTTGTAGTTTTTGTGATTTTTTTTAATTTTTTTTAATGGACTGGAATTTAAGAGTGAATGCAAGTAAACCTTAGTGTTTCTGGTGCTAGATATTCGAGAGGGTATGAGTTACACTGTGGAGAAGATCAGAGGTAGTTTTTTGTTGTTGTTGTTGTAGTTGCTTCTCTCAGGCAACACTGGATCCTGGCAAGTGAAGGAAGCTATTTCATCCATATCCAAGCACAATGGCGGAGCCAGGGGGTGGCCAATGGTGGCCTTGGCTACCATAGATTACTCTTCAGTCACCCCAAAGTCCACCCCGATCATTTGAGGAAACTTTACTTTTAAGAAACTGGCTCAGATTGTCACATTTTTACCCTTTCCTTCCACTGTTTTGTTTTAGTTTTCATGTTTCCATCTAGGGGGCAGCACAGTGGCGCAACTGGTAGAGCTGCTGCCTCTCAGCGAGCAGGTCCCTGGTTCAAATCCCGGTCCGGGGGCCTTTCTGGGTGGAGTTTGCATGTTCTCTCCGTGCATGCGTGGGTTTTCTCCGGGTACTCCGGTTTCCTCCCACAGACCAAAAACATGCATGTTAGGCTGATTGGTAACTCTAAATTGTCCCTAGGTGTGAGTGAGAGAGTGAATGGTTGTTTGTCTCGTTTGTCTCTATGTGTCCCTGTGATGGACTTGCGACCCGTCCAGGGTGTACCCCGCCCCTCGCACAGTGATTGCTGGACATGGGCACCAGCGACCCCCGTGACCCAAAATGGAATAAACGGGTAAAGAAAATGGATGGATGGATGGTTTCCATCTAGGAATGCCTGTCACCCTTCCTCACCTCATGTTTCCCTGCACCACACCTCCTCTGCTCAGCCACAGCAATCATCTCTAATCAGTTCCACCTGCTCTGCTCTCTTTATAAGCCCAGCTATACTCTCACTCAGTGCCAGATTATTGAAAGCTTTTTGCCACTAGATATCCAACGATTCCTTGTTCTGACTCCTGACCACGACCCCAGCCTTGTTTCCTTGACTCCTCGCCTTGCCTTGTCCCTCTCTGGATTTGTCTGCCTCGTCTGACCCTGTATTGACCCTTTTCTTCTCCTCCTTCAACTACGCCTTTGGATCTCGCCTTTGTTCTGGTACCAGCTCTCTGACCGCCTGTTAATGACCCCTGCTAAGTTTTCTGGACCCTGCTTCTGGACTCGCCCTACACGGACCACACGCAGCTCCTTGTTCTGTTGGCCTGCTGCAGCCCTCACTGCTACAGTGACGTCACCAAGCTCAGCGCTTCTGTTCTTGCCACGCCACAGATCGAGAAGGTTAGTGACCAATTCACAGTGAGTCTCAAAACTCCTCACCCGTTTCATAGTCACTAACTTGTCTCTCTCTCCAGACTGGACCTACACAGGGACCCAGACCTCCACCAGAAGCTGCTTTAAAAATAAATATATTAAAACCATTCCTGAGTCTGGTGATGTGCAGATCCAAACAAAATCTTATTTTGTTATCTACCTGGATGATTGAGCCTACAAACCTTTTTCTGAACCATTTTGGCCTTGGTGTCAGGCTGTTTCTGTGAGTAGCAAGTTGGCCATCTGGCCTAAAACATTTGTTACACATGATGAGTGTTTTGGACAGATGGGTCCTTTTGCATGTGTTAAAAACCTGCTTCTGAGATTCCAACAGGAGGTTGGCTTGAAACACAGCAATGAAGACTACTTATGGGACAGATCTGGTATACTTTTAAGCAATGTAAAAACTAAAAATCAGTTTCCTTGAATGGTTTGGGGGGTCAGTTCACATAGCATGATGATGGCTCTTTGCTTTTGAGTTGGCAACACAATTTTTTTGATAGTGACCTTTTTACGCTTGGAATCAGCCACACACTAAAATGGGAGTTGGCGCGTTGCTTATCTTTCATGTTAACCAGCTGAAACGTATATATGGGGGCAGCCATCTTAGATTTTTACATGGCAACCTAATTTTTGAAAGGAACCTTTCATGTAGACACACATAAAATGAAAGTTTGATACCTCACTTGTTTTTCAAGTTATCATGCTCACAACAGGCACGGACGGACGGATAAACGGAGTGTATTTCCAATTCCTCCTGTTTGCTCTGTGACAGGGGACAAAAAATTCTGAAAGGTGCCAGTACATCCTCTGCCCTAAACTCCATAACTTTGATCAAACAAGATCAAAATAAATGTAAAAGTCGTTGCTTGCGGCTCCATTTAGTCACCATGGTAACAGCATACCTGTCTGTCACCCCCTGACTGCCAAGTTACTGAAGGGCAGAGAGACGCAGACTGAACAGTAAGCCTCAAACAAACAGCTGCTGTGCAAAACTACAAAACTGGAGTCTAGAAGCTGCACTGTCTGCATTCTGGGGGATTTGAAAGATATGTAAGTCCTGTAGCACTGAGAGAAACTGTAAGAACACAAACATTCTGTTGTGATGGATCATTTGTATATGTACCATACGTGAATATACTTGCTCTATCAAATATTAAAATTTATGAAAAACAGAAATTATTAGAAAAAGAAACTCAACATAAAACAAAAGTTTATACTGTTTATTAAAAACAATATGCACAAGCTAGCAGCGCTCTTCTTTCATTCATTGTCTCATAAGTCACATTACAGAAACCAGCTGAACACTACCATGATATATATATATATATATATATATATATATATATATATATATATATATATATATATATAT